TATGTCAAATAAAATCAAACTTCTTCGATGCTCTGCTTCACATCTTCAATCTCATTTCATATCAGTGGAAATAACAGCAAGAAAACTCACCTTGTTCTTATTTATTTTGTGAGCTTTCTCGTTAGTTCTTTCACGTCTCTCATTTATGTTGCTTTTTATAGTTTCTTATATTGAACTTTCAATCCATAATGACATTACCATCACAAATCTTTCATTTCTCCATATTTGCTTCATGCTCAGTTATTGCTATACTTTCCAGTACAGTCCCATGAGTTTGAGCTTCCATCTCTTCAATATATTAATTCTTTGACTTTTCATTTTCAGCAAATAGCACTGGATGCTTCAACTTAAAAGTAGTAAAAATGTTGAAGTTATGGTCAATACATGAGAAGTACATAAAAGGATGGAGAATTCTCATCAAAATGTACCCGAACATAGTCAAAGAACTGGGGAGTTTTTGGATTAAAAATCGAACATTGAAAAATGTAAAGGATGTGTGGGAAGAGGATCTAGTAGTGAGATGAATTTGGAATCAAGAAAAAGAAGGAAAAGTTTTGTATTTTTCTGAGGAGTCAAGAGGATGAAAAAAAAGAAGAAGAACGTAACGAGACAGATGGGAATGACAAAAAACTGATTGGACAGCAAACTATAGACACATCAAGCATAAAATATATAAAATATATTGAGTAAGAGCAGCACATAAAGCTGAGAGACGTTTTGCACAATAATTTATCAAAGTTTTGCTTTCTCCTTCTTCCTTTATACTATCCAGTTTGGAGCAATTTTTTGAAAAATGTTCTTCCTGCTTTTATTCTTCTTATTTCCATCATTTTTATTCCTCCTTGCACGATATATATTTTTTATAAATACGACACACATATTTCACAATAACGACACTTGCACTTGAATTTTCTTATATTTATTTATGTACATGTCTATAAACAGCACAAGCACAAGCTATTGCAAGTACAGTGACTTTATGCTGCAACACCAGCAGTTTGGAATAGCTGTTTATCACATGAATGAATGAAAATGAATGAATGAAGTTATAGGAAGGAGCTGTGATGCCCGTAATAAATCTCTATTTATGGCATTTTTATAAATTTTTAGAAAAAATATTTTGTCGAGATTTTTTATGTCTTTTTTTTTAGAAAAAAATATGATGCATTGAAAAATGCTCGTTGTGCTTCATTGGAATTTTTTTTTGCTGCAACTCCTTCTTCGTCCTTATTTATGATTATGCTGTGAGATGTTAATGTTATGTTGGAATATATCATACAGCGAGAGTAGTCAGCATGTCATATATGAATTGAAATATCGATGTATGTACGTATGTTGCTATCCATACAATGGACATCTGCTAACACCATCAATATTTATTGAATATGTCAATTTATCGAAAGAAAGGAAGGAGCAAAAAACTTTCTTTGAATCTCCACACAACAAAATTTTCCCATTCTTTTCACTTCCTTCTCCGTCTTCATTCTTTTGGAATGTACATGAAAAAGTTTTTCATCATCATTTCTAAAAGATATTCACATACAACCATATGCATGCAGTTGATGCTCTGCTCTACTCTGTGAAAGAAGTAAGAGAGTCCAGTCTGTATGTTCAATAAATCGTAAGAAAAAGAAAAAGATTTGAGTCATGAAAACTTCCTTCCCAGTCTCTGACAAAAATTTACCGACCCACATCTTTTCAATATTCTCAATAAATCACATTGTGTAAAGGACGGACGGAAGGATAGAAAGATTTGATTCCAAATCAAATCAGAAATGTTGACGAAAATGTTGCGGACTTTCTTTATTCATCTATGATTACAGAATTGGACATTGAATATGAAAATGTGTCCAGAGAAGTAAATGACATTTGACAAATAATGAAAGGAACTAGTTTCCAATTTTAAATTGAAATGTCTTCAAGATTTGAACAATATTCAGGATGTTATAGGATATAGATTGGGGAAGAAAGTTCAAAATAATTCTCAGCATGTCTACAAGACTTGTACATCCCGAGCGGCACAAGGTGGAGGGTGGTCTCCATATGGAATCCATATGAAAGCCACCTCCACTCCTTGGGAAGTAAATGGAGGGTTATTTTTTCATCCTTCATATTGATTCCATTTGGATTCCATATGAACTCCGCTTTTTCTTAAATCAAATACCGAAAAACTCGTGCTTTTGAATTTTTAAAAGACAGAGGTCAGATCTTACTGTAATGGATTGAAATATTGTCGAAAAGCTTTACTGAATCATATTGCTTCATTTCAAGCTTTAAAAAAGCAAAAAAGGATAATTTTTTGTGATTTTGTATGAAATTACATACTTCACAAGCGCATGCAGAAATCACTATTATATGGGGTCGTTTAATTTGTATGAAAATTTTTAATAATTTCTTATGTTTCTCACGCGTGTGATCGAGACTTAGAAATTGCTGTGGTTGCGACTTAATTAAATTAAGTTGTAAATTTTTCAATAGTGTTAGTGTACTTTAATTAAGTCCACTAATACAGCTACAAATCTTGATATAAAAATTGCGAAACATTGAAAAACACGTGGAAAATCGTACCAAAAATTCTTTGAAAAATACTTCCATTAAACCTCCGTTTGACTACCACAAATGGATCCTCCATCCTCCATCAAAACCTCTCAAATGACTTCCATTTGGTGTTAATAAATGCACGTCCCACGGAGGATTTTCGGAGCTTTGGCTCCGTCAAAGTTCCATGATAGTAAGGTTTTCGGAAGATTTTCAAATGGAGGGTGGAACATGGAGGCTCCGTATAGCTTCCATATGGAAGGAAAATGGAGCCTTTGTGCCGCTCGGGCATGATTATTATCCTGAGATGAGTTCTGAATTTAATTATTCTTTGATTGTCCGCACTTTTAAGACAAATTTTAAAGGAAACTGGATGTGACAACAGGAAATTTATATGGAGACAGGGATGTTGCTGTATAAAAATAAAATTTTGGATATGAAAAATTGAAGGTCACATTTTACTTGACGAGATAATTTTGAAGAAGTCATAAGACATAAAAATATCTGCAATAAAAAGCAACACAAAAGGCTGTGTGGAAGGAGGAAAAAGTTTTGCGGTTGACATTCTCTTCTGTTTTAATTTAGCTCACGTATTCACAAGTCAAAATTTAGCATCAACTTGCTTTTGCATCCTACAAAGTGAAATGCTACGAGGATTTTTGCTTTCTGTTTTGTATCCTTTCCTTCATTCCTTCATCTGTTCCTCATCTCCTTTTTTTATATTTATAATATGAGTTGTTGACATATCGTGCATGACGAGATTAATTAATCGTCCTTAACTGACGCTGATGAGTGATTTTCTCATTTTCATCATTCCATCTCCTTTTGCTTTATGTTGAAAGATGATGAGCATCAGGAATGGTTAGTCATTGGAGTTAAATTATTCATGAAAAAGTCATTTTGTTGTGTTTTGAATGTGACTATTGTTCTAGTACCAAATGGATGTGAATGTGGATCACATATGATAAATTTTAAGACAATGATGCTGATAATCTATAGATGGAAAGTGTGGGGATGCAAAACTTTTCACCTTTTTCATCCTCTTTTAAAAATGAAAAAAAAAAATCAATTCTCATCCTCTCATTCACATTCCCAATTTGATGTGCCATTCATTCATTCAATCTATCTCCATCTATCTATTGTTGCAAAAGTATCAGTTTTGTCTTCACAGAATGAAAGAAAAATTCTCTATTTTTTGATGTCATGTCTAATGTTGATGGCTATTATGAAAATGACATAAATAACAGCATAAAGATACAATACAGACTACCGTCATTTCGTTTCGGACTTCTTCGAAATTAATTTCGATTTCTTCGATATTAGAGCCGAAAATTCAAATTTCAAAAAACAGTTACATTATGTAAACAATAAATTATTTTAATTAATACCAATTCTGCACAAATCCCAAAGTTCTTCATAAATTATTAATTTTATATTTTTTTTATCCATTCTCAACTTTATTAACAATAAAATTTGAGCAAAATGAGTAAGTGCATGCTAAAATCTGGTTTAACCGTCAAAATTTTTTGAATATTATAACGGTCATAAAACATTTGAATTTTTTTGAATATAAATTTAACGGATGTTATATGAATTGGCGGTAGTCTGATACAATACAGAAAACCATGAATTTCCTTTGACTTTTCATCTTGTCAATATTAAATATCAATGACACTTATTTGCTCGAATGAATGTGTTGCTTATTAAACTCCGCTCTAGTTATTGACTCAAAAAAATCTAAATCAGTGGCATTATCAGGTCAGACAACCCATTCCCCTTTCTCTTTATGTTTTCTTAATCTTATTTCCCAGACAATCACAAAGATAACATCAATCTGTAATGCCACAGAGAGCAATGAGCAAAAAAACACAAAACCGCTCATAGAATCAAAATTTATGTTCTCAGTTTTGAGTTTTCCTTTATTTGCAATAATTCTCATTTTTTTTCATGATTTCTCTTTATTTTCCCCTCTTCAATTTACGAGCATGTCTACATATCAGTTAAGAATCTCTTTAGAATTTATTTCTCAATATTCTTTGTTCTCATTCTCTTGTTGAAATTTTTTTGTGTTTGGGATATAAATTGATGATCTTGAGGAGTTTAGAGAAATGATTGATCCAACACTCCTAATGATGACCTTCCAATTTAATGTAGAGATAAGACTAAAATCTAGCAATTAGATCTCATTGTCTAGAAACTCTCATTCTAAAGATAACCTCAGTTAAATCAAAGAAAGTCATCATAACATTGATCAGGTACGCATAAAAGAAATCAGAAGCACTTGAAACGTAAGTTCTTAATTAATTATCGAATTTCAGATAATTTTTGATCCTATAAGTTAGCATAATGCCGACCTTATCTTATCAGGACTGCAAATTTAAAAAATTATTGAAACTGAAACATTTTTAATAGAAACCCCGAGACAGTTGATCTATTAAGTCAGTTGTTTGTTGAATTTTCAAAGTTTAAAATGGGACTGAAAAAATTAATATTTGTACTTTGTGCTTTTATTTGCTATGCTGGAGCGAGTGAAATTGCTCCATTAATTGTAAACGGAACTGATGCGACTATAGAAGAGTTTCCATTTTTGGTAAATCATTGCAATTAAATCTGATGGAATGTGTTATAAAATTAATTTTTCTATCAAAAGGCTTCTTTAAGGTTTAATAATTCACACACTTGTGGATCAACAATCATAAATGAAATTTGGATTTTGACTGTAAGTCACAAGTTTTAAAACTTTCATGAATCAATAAATACTCTCTATTTAGGCAGCACACTGTGTAGTAGGGCGAATAGGAAAAACTGACTTGTTCAGCGTACACGTCGAGTCTAAATATTTATATCCATCAAATCCAAATGTAGTCTTTGCTGAAACAATCTATCCTCATCAAGGATATAATGCATCTAATCAGTATATTAATGATATTGCTCTTATAAAATTGAAAGAACCGCTTAAAATTCAACTTTTTGATTGGAAGGTCAAATTGGCAATGAGAGGAGCTTACTATAAAACAGGAACGCCAGCTGTCTTGGCGGGTAAGTTTGTTGAAATTGGTTTTTTATTATCGTGAATTAATTTTTCTTTTATTTCTTTTTGGAATCAATCATTGATAAATATAGGCTGGGGATATAATGAGGTATGTTCGAAATAGAGGTTTTAAAGCATCGAAATTGGAATTTTTTTTATTAATAACTTTTAGTCTGGTGGAGTTGCCCAAACGACACTTCAAAAAGTAAACCTTCAAATATACACAGCCAGTGATTGTGATGAGATTCATAATTCAAAAGTTCATGCATCAAACATATGTGGAGGTGTAGAAGGTGGATATCAAGGACAATGCAGTGATAAGTTTTAAAATTTTATTTAAAATAAGCTTCAATAATTAATTCTGCTCCATTCTTTACGAGATTCTGGTGGTCCCTTGTTGGTGAGAGGAGTTCAAGTAGGAATTGTTAGCTGGAGTGTTAAACCATGCACAGTTCCTCCTTATCCTGGAGTCTATGCATCAGTTGCTCATTTTACTGACTGGATTGAAGAAACTGTTGGATTTAATATGGGACTTAATGTTTTCTTAAGTGCTTGAATATGCTGTAAAATATAAAAGTCATATTGAGCTGATAATAAACGATGCGTTTATTGATTTGATAACGTTAAGTGGACCTTTTTGATTAGCCAGATTTATTTTTAGCTGAGTTTTTACAAACTGAAATTACCTTTGGGGTCGTTCACAAGTGATGTTAAAAATAATGAAGGATCCGCTTTAATAAAACGTTCCTAATAGCCCATCTCGGACTGACTTAATTTTTTTATTAATTTTCCATAAATGTAAGTTATGGGAAGTTATCAAAATTATCAAGCTTTTGATGTTTTTAAATCCTTTACTTCACTTTTTTTAATCTTATCAAATTTTGATGGAATTTCTAATCAATTGAAAATGAAACAGTTCCTACTTTAAAGGTTTAAGTTATTGATTTTATTATTTAGTTGCTTTTCATATTCCAAGAAGTAATAATGGACTTAAAAACTCTGATTTTAGTTCTTTGTGTATTTAATTTTTATGCTGAATCCAATGAAATTGTTCCATTTATTATTAATGGAACCGATGCGACCATAGAAGAGTTTCCGTTTATGGTAAAAATATTTTATTACCTTTTTTAAATAAATTTGAATCTATAAAATTATTCGAAAGGCTTCTCTGCAATATAATCGGTCACATGCTTGTGGATCTACAATAATCAATGAGTGGTGGGTTCTTACGGTAAGTTCCATCATTTTTAAAGATTATAAAACTATAAATTTTATTCCTAGGCAGCACATTGTGTATTTTACAATCCAGCAGAAATGTTAAGTGTCTTGGTTGAGTCAACATTTTTAGACACTAACCATCCAAATGCAGTTCAAGTTGATTTTTGGCTCGTTCATGAAGGATATAATGCATCTGATTATTTTATTCATGATGTTGCTGTTGTAAAATTAAAGGAACCGCTTAAAATTAAATTATTTAATTGGAAAGTAAAGTTGGCTATGAAAGGAGCTTATTACAAGACTGGAACGCCTGCCGTCTTAGCTGGTAAGTCTTTTTATATCAATTTAAAGTTCTTAATTTGTAATAATCTATTCAATTTATAGGCTGGGGAAGAAATTCTGTAAATATATCAATTTATTCCTCAACAATCAATAACTAAGTCTTGTCATTTCTAGTCCGATTGGCTGTCTGAAGGATCAGTTCAAAATACTTTACAAAAAGTAAATCTTCAAGTATATACAGCAAGCGATTGCGACGCTTTACATGATGGCATTGTTCGTTCAACAAATATTTGCGGAGGTGTTGAAGGTGGATGGCAAGGTCAATGCAATGATAAGTATTACTTTTAATCAACATTAATAATTGAACATTAATAATTGAAATTTATTTTTACGAGATTCTGGAGGTCCTCTATTGGTTAATGGTGTACAAGTTGGTATGGTGAGCTGGAGTGTCAAGCCTTGTGCTGTTCCACCTTATCCTGGAATTTATACATCAATTGGACATTACATTGATTGGATTAAGGAGAAAACTGGATTGGAATTTAATTTAAATGGCTTTATTGTGGCGTAGAGTGGTTGAGATATTGATTGGACATTAGCTAGAGCTACATGCTTATGTCCTCAAAATTATTTGCATTATTAAAAATTTACAAGAAGTTTTGAAAAAATTAACCATTATATGGCAAGAAACCCTGTCTATTCCAAATTGTCATCAATTTTTAATAACCAGACATAAATCAATAAAGAATATTAATTTGTTTCCCTCTCAAATACTAACCAATAATAAAAATTTAACCATCCAATTTGCTCTATACTTTATTATTGTGTATCAAAAAAATCTTGTAACATGAAGCACTTCATAAATTAGTTCCTGTTCAAAAAATATAAATACATCTGAAAAATCTTGAGAGAAATCCAAACTGACATTATACATATGTTAACATTTCTCTCAGGCAAAAAAGCTACATAAAATTCAATTAATCATAAATTTTAATTAATCAAAAGGCTGAAAATTTTCAAATTTGTTTGACCAATTAACCCATTACAGCAGTCGCCAGCTTTTGATTCCATTTACATACATTATCATATTTATTTATAATCAGAAATAGTTAAAAAAGGTTTCATATGGCTCTGCTTATTCTCAGTATATCAGACAAACATGCAGTTATACTATTAAAGTCACACTGAGTTAAATTGCTTGAACAAGTAAAAAATGAAAAAAAAAATTTCGATGTTTTACATGCAACAGAGCTGTGCATGTATCTGTAACTGTGTAGCTATAGTCAGCTACGAGCGTAAAGCATTTTGCCAAAACATTTTGTAAAACATAAAACATGAAGTAAAACATTAAGCATGTACACAAGATGTATTTACACAGAATCGACACCAACACATATCAATTTGCTAATCGCTGCTTCTGCTGGTGCACAATATAAAACCGAACACTTCAAAGTGATTTTTAACATGCAACTGAAAAAGTACGAAAAGAAGAATGAAAAAAAAAATTGAATAAAGTAAAGTTAATTCGATGTATGTTTCTTTGCGTTTTGATTTTTATTTTTCTTCTTTCTTTTCGTTCTCGTCATGTAAGCGATTGTAAGGTGGAGCAAAATCGTGATTTATTACCTCACTCGGTAACTTTAATGTTTTTATTTTTTTTTTTAACTTACTCTCATATATATACACAATAATAATAATAATATGCAGTTTTTTAAATATTATTTTTATATTCTGCAGAATATGTGAATTTTTAAGCTGTTCCAGTTGGTCGGTCAAAGTATGTTCGATATTGTAATATTTTTCATACATGTATGCTGTGTGTTGAAAAAATTCTAAGAAGAAAATATTAAGCAGTATAAAATTCATCAATTTGACGAAACAAAACGCCTGCGTATAAATGACGAACATAAGAACTCAAAAAATAAGAATAATAAGACCATCAATGACAACAGCATTTTTTTCTCTCGTCTTATACATGAAGCTTGATTTCTCAATACAACACACAGAGGGATTTGACAAATGATTTATTGCTTTTAATATGGCGTCGCATTGAATGAAATATCCATCACACAAAATAAAATAATTTTTTTTTCTCTTCTGTTGTCCTTCTCACTCACTGACTATTTATATGTTTTAATAAAAAGGGTCGTTTTAACAAGCACGCAATTTCCTGCTTGAATTCCCTCATCCATTTTGATTATTAATTGTGTGTGATGGAAAAGAAACTTGATTGAAGAATTGAACATAAAAAAATGGTATAAAAAATAAATTTGAGTGACTTCTTTGGACATTTGAGAATGGAACGCAATTTTATCGATTTTATTGATGGAGTTTTGGGATTGTCATTAGCATATTTAAGCATTTATGTGTCTGTTTGGAGTAATCGACTAAGGATTAAGCTTGATTTTTGCTCCGATAGTTTTAAATTCGTTTGTTCGAATCATTCAATTTTTGGTCTTCAAAACCAAGTCAAAATTGAAACTAAAGACAACGCTTAATTAATAAACAAGGTTGAAGTAGGTTGGCCAAAACAATTTGAATTTTAAGCATATAGGTCCATGGCTTTAAAGTTATTTTGGGTTTCATTTAATTCAAAAAATTTTAAACTTACTCCTTTAACAGCTGGTTAAGGCAACAAACGTTAAAAAAATAAAGGAATCATTAACAAGACTCAATTCCACGAATAGTCAGTCAGACATAATCCAAAACCCCCGTACAAAGAAAACCTAATTCCAACAAGAACTGAAAAAACAAGTAAATATGAAAATTATGTAAATTGAGTGGAATCAATCAACATAACCAGTTCTACAATTCCATTTGTTCTTATTCCTCATCATCAAAACAATTTTCATCGTCAATCGTCGAAGCTTAAATGCTAGAGATAAAATAAATATGCGTATACGGTATGAAAGAGCAACGACACAGAGAACCGAATACTACGAGTATGGAATGTGTGAGAATACCCTTTAATATTATCCCCCTTACCAGTCAAGGTCAAATGTGAATGAAAAAAAAAATTATCGATTTTTCTTCTCTTTTGCAGCACTTTACGCAATGTGGATATATATAGTTTCGTACATATATATATTTTTAAATTCTCAAACAACAATAAAAAGGCCATAAAAACATTTTTATAACCTCTTGCAAGCAAAAAAGGAGAACGTTTTTTTCTGTTCATATGGGAGCTCTTAACTCTGCCGCTGATTCAAATTATCGATTTTTTTTTCGCTTCTTTTATGACCAAAAAAAGAAGGAAAGAACGATTGTACACAGAATGAGAGACAGAGAAAGAAGAAAAATCAGCTGTAATTTATGAGACGTTCCGCGAAAATGTGCCACTTAAGATTATTAAAATAAAAACAATAAAAACCGATAGCGCCATATAACCAATACAGTCACACGAACGTGGAGAGAGAGACAGAGAGGAAAAAAATATCTTTTCTCGTTCCAAGCATGTGCGATTTGTAGGGAAAAAAAGTGTATAATGTATACAGTTTTGTATTTCACGAACTCATAACATTTCAGCATGTACACGAAACAAAGAATTCACTCATTGCCTTATCATTCGAACAAAAAATACGAACATGTCAAAAAATTTGACATGAAAGGAGGAGCGAACAAGTTCTTGCTTTTTTTTGACTTTGATTAGAAAACATCAGGGATGTAGCTTAAAGCAATCAATCATGAACAATCAAAAAATTAAATTTTAAATTTTAAAAAATTAATTCAGGACAGCAAAAAGTTGAATGTTTGATGCTTCTCATGTCATGCGACACATTCAATTTCCTTCCTTCACATACATTTTCTTTGTGTGCTCATTTTCCGTACTGCTGTGCTGTGTGCTATGTTTGATGTGTGAAGGAAACATTGACGAGTGAGAGCAAAATTATGAAACGCCTTCGAGGTGGAGCTAGTCAATGTGAAAAATAATAAAAGCAAAAGCAACAATCAACATATTTGTGTGATGCTGATTGTAAAAAAACAACATTCATGTCATACGAAGACATTGAAAGAAGAGAAGAAGTGGAAGAAGAATTCATAAATATTTGACACATGATGGATGGATTATTGTTATTGATGTTTTTCTCATTTAGCTGCTTATGTAATGTTTCTACTATGGCGTCGGTTATAAATTTTGATCTTTCCTTAATTAATTTTTATTGCTTCTTTTCTTTATGTGCTTGGTGATGTTTTAGTTCAGAGCGGATATTTGATATTTAGATGTCTATCAATAATGAAATTATGATTCACGAGAGATTGTTCTGTGATTTTGAATATTCAAATGGTTTGATTATTGAGTTTCTTGATCAGATTAATTATTATGCGAAATTCTTCAAGTTTGTTGATTATTGAAGTATAAACTGAACTAGTTTTGTAAAATAATGGATGAAAGAAATCCATAAAAAATGTGAAATAGAACAATCAGTCAATAAACTCATAGAGAAACTCGAAAGTTTTTTAAATCTGTCAAAACATAAAATTGGATATCTTATCAAGGATCCTACAAATCAACCATATTCAATGTAAGTTGAACAACCTCAAAATAATTATAATTCATATTTTTATAACATTTCTAAATAAAGCCAAACTTTAACGACTGGAATCAAAATCCCGCTTGCATCAAAATTTGCATAGTCAAAATGATATTAAAGAATTTCAAAAGAAAATTGAATCACATTTGAAAGTTTTGAATTTTTATAGACCAGGTGACAATCAAAAATTATTAAAAAATTTTTATTACCAAACAGCTTTTGTTTCTCTTAAGACTCAAATGTCTTACATATTTTATAGCAGGCAATTTCAAAATACTTAATTCACAAATTTGCAGTTTTTATGAAATTTCATCGTAGTTATCACAATAAGGACATTAGCAGAGGGTAAAAAGAAATTCGTCTATAAGTGAATAACATAAAGTGGAATGAAGGAACATAATTCAAAATTTTAAGACAGGACGACTGTAATAAATCTGTCATAAAACTGCTTTTCTTTTGGGTTTTATATACTTTCACAATTATACATACAGGCACACATACAGACATGTCTAGAGTATTTTTCTGCTATATTTTACGGTCTAAATGCGATGTGTTGAGAAAGGGCCTGCTGTTTGTAGAATAAGAGAAAAAAAGAAATTCTGAATGCATCACACAGCCTGCATATGGAGAGTGAGTTACACAATATAACATAATACTTAATAGTTTTTTTTTTTTCTTTTCATCCAGAAAGAAATTTCTGACATTTTAAAGATTTATGAGGCTTTTATCAAGTAAAAGTTCCTTCTTTTCTATTTCGTCCTTTGTCGCATTTCCCGTACATGTTCTTTTATGAGTCTGTGAGGCATTCCAAGGCCAAACTAGTTGACTGATGATACATAAATTTTGTGACAACATAAACCACGAAAAACATCTTTTTGGGATGTGAATTTTTATGACTCAAAGTCGGTGCCTGTTAAGTAGAAAGAAGAAGAACATAAACAGCACGAAAGAGAAATTGAAGAATAATTTCTGGCAATTGTTTTGAGTATTTTTTGTTCTCACATCCAACGCAAGTCAGTGCCTCTTAATAAGTTTTAATTATTGATTTATTGCCGATTGTTCAATTAAAACGATTATCCAACATGCGCTATGTAATAATGATGATGGAAGCGATGAATATTGTTTTTCGATTTTTTATGTTCCATATTCACATCATTTATTTTAAGTATTCAGCTTTACTTATGCTTCACATTGATTTTTAATTCAATATTCTTTTATTTTATTGAGTTTCTCAATTTCGCTCATCGTATAAGTTTTTCGTGAGATATAAAGTCCGTGTGTAAGAAAATATGGCAATAAATCAATGACTGAAACTAACAATTAAAGCTCATCAACTGAGTATGGGAAAGAGACATACACAATATGTTTCAATTTGATTCGATCGCCGTGTCAATAAATTTTATTTTCATCTTTTTTTTTTCTTTTGTTATTCTCTTGATTCTATTCACAGACAAATCGACATTCATCATCATGACGTAAGTTGGAATTGGTTGGAATAAAATACGCGTAGAAAAGTTATTAAATGTTGATGGAAGAAAAGCTTTTTGGATGATGAAATGATTTAATAATGGGTACAAGAATCGATTGATTTTAGGTGAAGCTATGACTTTAATCTCCTTAGAAATCTCTCATTTTATTAGGTTTTTGTCAATTTATGACAATTAGTTCAGCACCTTGAAACAAATAGCATGTTAACTATTGCCCTTAGTCAAATAAACACCGAATACCTCTCGATAGAGCTCATTAATAAGAGCATGAGACGGAAAATAGTAAGACTTGTTTTCGATTCCTTCTTGGAATGCGATATTCTGAGTTATAACTCAGCCTAAGCATCAGCAAAACTATTTTATCAAGCTAAGTCAGAGATCCTGTGTCGTATTTGCTGTTCATTTCACTAATCTAATCGCCTAGCTTGGTTAGAGTTGCTTATTGTATTATTGAAAGCAAAAAATAAGTTTCCTGTGTCAGGCAGCAATCAAATGCCACTTTATACTTGAATATTATACTAGTTCATGTCCAAAAATAACATTTGTATCCAAAACAGTTCTACTAGTCACTCAAGTCAACACGACAAAGAAAACATATTAGCTCTTCCGACTCAGTCATGCGATAAACAAGAAGAAGAACAATTTTATTGGACTCATGGGTACATCGATAGAAATGAATATAATAGAAATGCTTCAATCTATCGATTAATTCTTCTTTCTTCTTCTCCTGATTATTCTTGTTCGTTTTTAATCTTCACAATACAGCTATGTAGCGTAATGAAAAGAAATCTTCATAGCACGAAAGCCATTTTTCCAGATAGAAGTGAAAGAAATAAGAAAGAAAATAAATCAATCAAAGATAAAAATCATTTCGAATCCATTTTGAGAATTTTTTTCTCTCATTGCTACTACTCGCTCATTGTTATTACCTTAAAGCGACTATCTGGAATGAAAATTATGGCTTCTTCCTTCATTTCAATTCAGACTTTGAAATTTTTTTTTATATTATATTCTTTTTTGAAATCTAATTTATTGCTTCAACTATTGATTTTCCATTCCTGCTTATTCCTTTCTTCTACTTATTTTCATTACTTACTTGCAATAACAAACCAACTTCAATCACATTACATAATGTGTAGTAATGGAATATGCTTCCATATATTCTCATGAACTGCTTTTTTTTTTGTTGTTATTGCAAGAATGTGAGGATTACATTTTAAAGAATTATTTTATGCATGGAAATTTCCTTCATATCAGACGTTGAGTGATCTTCTTTGAGCCCAAAACCATCAACAATGATTTCCTTTTTTTCTCCACTTTTCCTATTGCTTTGCCCTCATTTAAAATTCATGAGAGAGAGCGGAAGAAGAAGAAAAAAATGAATTCCATCCATCCATCTAGCATGTACCATTGGTATAAATAGCAATTGAGGCAAGCGAATGATGAGAAGAAAAAATCGATTTTGTTATGTTTTTAGCATAAAGAAGCTCTTTTTAACTTCACTTTATGTCTTTGGAATGAATGAATGGCAGATGTAGCCCTCAACTTCAAGATTTAAATTACACATTCAAACTTATTGCAATGTGTCTTGAATGCAAAATACCTTGAAGGAAACGACGAGAGGAGAATGATGGAAATTTTCTTCATTTTTCATCAAGAAGATTTCAAATTCATGAGGGTTCATACGTAAGTTACGACTAATTGAAATATGAATTCCGGACCCATATCCTTATGTATGTTCTTCAAGTGGCTTTTAATTGTTTTTTGGTGACTTTCTACAAAGGACGTCCTGTAAATCTCATGATATTAAAAAGCTGTACCATTCTAAGATTAAGATCCAAAAAGAGAATCGATTTGAAGCCATGTGACACTCTGACAAAGTTTCCAATTTGAAAAGAAGCACTTGACACTAAGTTACGCTACATGAAGAAAGATAATGGCAGCAAAAAGCGAGGATTGTAATTTAAATTGATGAATTATGTCACCGTTTCGCCTCATATCTATTCATGCTTGAATTACAAAAATAATAAGGGGTGTCACATTGTTATATACCTAAATGAAATTACGAACATTATTTTTAATTTCTGTCGTAAATTTTAAAAAACTCTCTTTTTTGAAGCTGAAAAAAGTTTTTTTTTTAGGGTAGGTAAATTAAAAATTTATTGATGTCTATATCTCATTGATATTCTAAGTCTTGTATTTTTATTATATTTACAGGAATTAAGATGACAATTGACTTAAGTTTGATCCATTTTAATGTTTTCACTTTTAACTTCTTCCATCTCGGTTAACTGATCCATGTATTCACAATAAATTCGCTGCCATTTGGTTGATGAACGAAAACTTGTAAGAACTTCACGCAAGAGTTCGTGCTTATCAATATTTAAAATTTTATGTTTTGAACGAAACTCGGCATCACTTTGAAGACTGTATATTGGTCCCAATAATTCATCGAGTACTTGTCGAACCTTTTTCTCGCTTCCATATGTTGCTAAATAATATCCGAGCACTGAATACCAATGTTTTAATTCAACTGGTGAATTTACGCTCTCACACAATTGAACTTGGTGCTCTGCGAAGGAAATTTTTGTATGTGCTTCCCACGCATCATCAGATCTGTGAAATAGATATAAAATTATATTTTAATATTCCCAAAATAATAATATTTATAGAATACTTACGCGTCGACTGGATTTTTAGATTTTTGTTGAAATGAGTGTGACAGGTATTGAACAGTAGCAATAGGATACGCCTTCATATTTTTGATATTCGTAATCGAGCCATGCAATCCACAGCGTGTAAGTGAATCGCTTGCATTAACAATCATCCAACTTTGTAGATCTGGTGAATAACTGTATGCACTTCCAGCACTAGTGCTAATAAATGGTACACCAAAGTCTGTTATATAAAACATGTTTACATAGCCATTTCCATTAAGTATATCAACACACGATGATCGCATATGAACTTTCATGTTGTCAACATTCCACACGCACAGTTGAGCTCTTTCGGTTAAAGAGCCTCCAAGCGATGAGTTTGGACTCTATATAGGATAATCAATTAATTAATTTACAGCATTTATTAAAAATAATTAAAATTAACTTACAAATCCAGTTAATAAAATCGGACTGGCTTGATTCAAAACAGGCATGACAAGTCTTCCATTCTTGATGTTAATGAATCTAACTGATCCATCCATGGATCCAACCAAAACATAACTTGTACAAACACTAAAGCTCGAAATCGCGGATCCAACTGTAATTTCCCATATTTTTCTATCATCCATTTGCTGTTGGTGATTTATATTCATACAGGCTACTCGACCAAGATTTCCAAATGCAGTTTTGTATGAATCATTGATGACTTGAATGCGAAAATCACCAATTGACTTTACACATTGACCACCTGTTAACGGAGATGCTTTTCCTGAATTCATTCTTACAATTGGAACGGCAGTTTTTGGCGTAATTGGAGCCATTGCTGGTGACATAAGAGACATAGAGGCAAGAGAGCCATGTGCTCTTTGAGGAGTATCTCTTAAGGCAAGTCTTGTATCAAGTTTTAATGGTTCAGTTACTGATGTAGATGTGGTTGTTGGCAATGTTGATATTCCTGAAGTTTTAACTTCTGAAATTAAGTCAGAATTCTTTTCAATTATTACTTGAGAGCGAGGCTGAGAACTTGATCCCATTTCTGTATTTGATGAAGTATTTGTATCTGTTAAAGGAATAAACATTGGTGTTATCCTTCTTTTCCCATCAGCTCTACGAGTTTCAACTTGTTTCAAAATAGGCTTAATAGGCGTAGAAGTTGCTCCAAGTGTCGTAGATGATGATTCTATTGACTGCATTGATTCAGACATTTCTTTTTGGACTGGTGGAATTATTACAGGTTTCGGTATTGGCAATGTTTCTTTTGTAAATGTTGGTATCAATGAAGGCGGTCCTCGAGGTTTTTCTTGTGACGTGTTGAGCAATTCTGCACTTTCAATAATCATTTCCTTTTCTGCTTGTGATGAAAGGTCCACAGTTGCATCTTTTCCGTACATTCTTTGATAAAGAGAATTTTTATCGTCCTGTGATAAAGGTTTTCCTAATTGATCTTCGTTAAACTGAAGACATGCAACAGTTCCGTCGCCACTGCAAGCAAGTAAAATATATCCGTCACTAGACCAAGAAAGATCTAATATTGAATCTTCAAATAAATCACGAATGACAAGCAGTGGTCTCTGCAAAGCTGTCATCCACACTGATAGACATCGATCTCTTGATCCAATTGCTAAGCAACAATACTGTTGTGTTTTGTTTGTTTTTTGAGATTGTCTTTTTAAAATTGAGTTGTGAAACCTTACGCAGGTAACAGCCTTTCGATGTCCAACAAAATCTTTATCACATTTCCAACCATCTCTTTCAATGATTTGAGCAGTGGGACCTCCTCCATTCATTGCATGAGCTGACACTAAATATTGCCCATCTGGAGACCAACTTAATCTCAAAATATGAGTCGTTCCACCACATTCTTCAAATGGCTCTGTAATTGTTGTTTGAATTGTCCAATCAGAAGTTTTCCAAATTTTCACTGAACGATCATCACTTTGTGTCGCAAGAAACTTTCCAACAGGATCCCACGTGACACCTTTTACAAGTCCTGTATGTCCTTTTAAAGTAGCTATAATAGTTGGAAATGACTGTGCATCCCAAATAATAATTGAGTTATCGATAGAACAGCTAGCAAGCCATCTATCTTGTGGTGACCATGCAAGATCTAGGACATCTCCATTATGTCCTCTTAATGTTGATGTGCACTTCCAGTTCTCAATATTTTTTGCCATGCCAGCACTACCAAAATTCGCACCAGATCCTGAAAATCTCTTCCAAATCATGATTAATTTATCATCGGCACCAGATGCAAGCATTTGACCATTCATAGACCATCGTACTGAATTTACACAACTCAAATGGTTGTCACTAAAATTATGGGTAGGAAAAAAAATCAATTAATATCCGTTAAGGTAAAAATATTAGAACTTACATTTGGCACAAGATTTTGGGCACTTTTGGATCCATTTCAGCTTTCTCTGACAGTACTGGCTCAAGATTCCATATTACAACAGACCCAGAATCATTCCCTTGACCACCCTGCAAAATTTCATTCAATAAAGTAAAAATGCCGCATAATTGCACTCAACAATTCTTACCGTAACGAATTTCGGCTCTTTTGGATGGATATCGATCGAAAATATAGGTTTATCCTGATTATGCACAAACGCTGGCTTTAGAAGTTTCATTTTGAGTAATTTATATCCCCAATAAACTTCTAATCACATTTGATAAACTATTTTTTAATTTCCGCCTTTTTATATTATTGGATTTTTTAAGCTCCGTCTTGTGGAAGTAAGATTCTGCATGCTATAAACTTTTGTTTACAAACATTTGTAATGTTTCGGACGAGAAACATCGTTATTGCGTGGATATGCTATATCAACGCATCTAAAATATTGCGAAACTTTTTAGAATCTCGAGGTTGATTTTGATGGTAAAGAATAATTTGGATCCAAGCTGGAATAATCAATTGGATACATATTACTTTAATCTTGTTACTCAAGAGAAACCCCAATGAAAGACAAAATGTCGACCCAATTTCTAAATCCATGCTAAAAATCATCAGCAACGAAATGATTAATAAAAAAATCGCGTGATGTTTTGCGGCTCATTGTGAATTGAATCCTCTACATGATAAGATTAAAATTTTCTGTGGTTAAATATAAATAATTCTCTGTAAGATTAAGTGACTATCTCTCAGTATTTTAAAAGCTTTTCACCTGAACGGTATACATTTTAGAGTGAAGCTATTAATTTAAGTGAAAAAAATTAAAAATGGCAAAAAAGAATATTTTGTACTGTCCAGAAATCACTAATGATTATGCAAATGAGCTATCAATGGGACACTTGATCATCAAGAGTCTGACTAATGCTGGTGATAGAGTACTTTTGGTGTCTGGAATAACATCGGAAGAATTGACAGCAAAAGAGTTGTTAACAAAGGCAATTCAGTTTGCTCAATCTTTAAAGTCATTTGGAATAAAGAGTGGAGATGTCGTGTCTCTCGTATGTGAAAATCGCTTTGAATTTGCTTATGTTCTTTTCGGAAGTCTTTTGTCAAATGTAACTGTTGCGCCAATCAATCTGACATACTCAGAACGAGAAATGTCGCATGCATTAAGTCTGTCGAAACCAAAAATGTTATTTATGAGTCCATTTGCAGCTGACAAAGTCGTTAATGTAGCAAAGTCATTGAGTTTTATCCAAAAAGTTGTCTTATTCGATGACGAAAACCTTTTTGGAAGTGATGTAATGCTGTTTGATGATTTCTTGAAACGATCAAGTAACTTCAACATTAAAGAATTCATTCCAATGCCTGTTGAAGATAAACAAAACACAGTCTCATTAATTTTATGTAGCTCTGGAACAACTGGTAAGAATAACACTTGGTAACCTTGAATGTAATCATATAACTGTGCTTACTTTTCTTCCTTATCATTAATTATAAACGCAATATAGGTCTTCCAAAAGGCGTTCAATTATCACAAGCTAATCTTATCGTAGTCACACGATTCTGCAAAGATGTCATTCTTAATATTGGAAATATTCCCTCCACCGAAGAGAGAGTATGCCTTGGATTATTACCATGGTTTCATGCATTTGGAATAACTATCTTGACAGGTGTTATTTCTGGAGCATTGACAAGAATTGTTCTTTTACCTAAATTTGAAGAAGCTCTCTTTCTAAGCTGTATTGAGTATAATAAATGCAATATTTTATTCCTGGTTCCACCACTGATGGTTTTCCTTTCAAAACATCCAATGGTCGATGATTATGATCTTAGTAGTGCGAAAGTGATTATTTGTGGAGCTGCACCTTTGTCAAAAGAGACAGAAAATGCAGTTTATGATCGATTGAAGAACAAAGACTTGAGAATTTTGCAAGGATACGGTATGAGTGAGTTGTCACTTGCAGTTCTCCTTCAAAAGTCAATTAGAAAACCAGGCTCAGTTGGTGATCTAAACGGTGGATCATATGCTAAAGTAATTAATGAAAATGGTGAAGCATTAGGTCCAAATGAAAGAGGTGAATTATGCTTTAAAGGAAATCAACTTATGATTGGATATATCAATGATAAGGATGCGACAAGTAGCTGTATTGACAATGAAGGTTGGCTACATACAGGTGATGTTGGATACTATGATGATGATAAGCAATTTTTCATTGTTGATCGCATCAAGGAACTTATCAAATGGAAAGGATTTCAAGTGCCACCAGCTGAGATTGAAGCAATTTTACTGACACATCCTAAAATTAAGGATGCAGCTGTGATTGGAATTCCAGATGAAAGAGCAGGTGAAAAGGCACTTGCTTATGTCGTAAGAGTCGATGAAAGTCTAACAGAAAATGATGTCCTTGAGTTTGTCGCAAAAACAACATCACCTGCTAAGCGACTCCATGGTGGTGTTATTTTTACGGATCTAATTCCTAAAAACCCAAGTGGGAAGATTTTAAGACGAGAATTGCGAGAATTCTATAAACAATCAACATTGAAAGCTAAGTTGTAAGTTGATTGATGATTGATCAGTCAACACATAAAAAAACAAGTCCGTCAATATTGGGTTCAAAGATTAAAGTTAAATACGAAAAGATTTGCTAGTCAACTCCAATTTTTTTTTCCTAACATTTCCATTAGCGTACTCGAATATTTGCTAGATAAATTTAAATGTTTGTGGATAACAGGTTTTAGTCTAGAACGCTTTGTTTATACCTTCTTTTTGTATGTTTATCATGTTTTGCACCAAACTTTGTAAGCTTTAGGTATTAGTTTGTAAAGTATGGATAGAAAAAAAACCCAAAGAGAATTTTGATTATTCTTCTTTTATCACGCGTTAGTCAAGGTCAGTCTTAAATGAAAGATAAAGGGGTCGTTCACAAATGGCGTCGATCAAATATTAATAAATATTCTTTTGTGTAAAGGTGTTACCCATCTCCAGAAAATATGAACATTAATTTTACGATGAACCCCAAAGGGGCCATTCACTTATTACGTAACGCTTTTAGGGGGAGGGGGGGGTCTAAGATTTTGTTACGGTTCAAGCAAGGAAATTTTTTTTTCATACAAAATTTGTTACGAGGGGGGGGGGGGGGGTCTAAGAAGTCATTTTTTCGCGTTACGTAATAAGTGAACAGTCCCAAAGATGTTATGACATTTGAAATGTACACCTTTAATTATGTATGTATGTAGGCACACGTGAAAAATAAAGAAATGTTTTCATATTAACAGCGAGCATGTCAATTATCTCTGTGCATTATTTTGTGACTTTCAGACTATTTATTTTTTGTTGTGGATTAATCGCACGTTGCATGTGATTACCGTAAGAGATTTTGACATCATGCTTAATTTTTAACTTTTTGGATTCATGCTGGCAAGAAGAAATAATTGTAATTCTGATTAACTAGACTTAAGAATTTTTAAGATTAAGCCATAAATTTAATTTTACTTTGCAATCAAAAATAATGTCAAGGTGGAACAGCATATTTGGTAATTGCTGCTAAGCATGTTCATTTGTGCAGATTTGAATCTCGGAATTAAGGATTTGATGATCGATGATAAGTTGGCATTATTAACATTTCAGTTAAGGTTAGACTTCCTTCCTTATTTTTCATGTACATGAATTCTACATAAAAACATGATCAATTACGATGTGCATCAAATAAATGCTTACAACCTTTGAAATATTAAGCTGATTATCTGGTCACTTGCATCTGCAACTTGTGTTGACCAACCAAAATTGTAAATCCAATAAATCATCGTTACAAAAGCAGTTGAGGTCAAACTGAAGCTGTTTAATAAATTCATTAGCATAACAATGTATTGAAGTTGATGTTATGTCTATGCAGCATATTCAAAAAAACTTTTTTCTCTGCCTCTATTCATTTCCTTTATTTTTTTCACAAAGTTTGTCAAGCAAATGAACACAAATTATCAGTTTTTCATTTTTAAAAAAGCTTTATTTGAAAGCGCCAAATCTTCATGACGTCAACGAGTATATTGGGAGATAAAGCAACTTATACAAGCGATAAATGTCTATGACATTCGGTCTCGCGATTTTTTAAGATAGCTAAGTTAAATTGTAATAAAAAAATACCCATATTTGATAAGTTCTTTATTTGATAACTTATTTCGCATACCTTCCTTCACTTAAAATTATTATTAAAATCATCCAATCACCACCAACATATCATCTAGATTAATTAATTAGAGCCAGCCTGTCTTATCCAATTTAACGATCGTTCTTTAACTTATAAGGAATGGAAACTTATTCTTATTTCTTTTTAATCAAGGACTCCTTAGTAGCTATAGGAATTCTTTCAAGAAGACTTTCATGATCGATACCTTTTGCCGTTGCCAACACGCCTGTTCTATTTGGATATTCGACATTTGGTCCATAGTTATAATGTTTTCCCAAAATATCAGTTAAAATTCCTCCATCAGCTTCGAGAATTGCTTCTGGTGAGCATGTATCCCACTTTTTACAACCAGGAGATGCAAACACATAGCAATGTGCTTTACCTTCGAGCAACTGTTTAAATCAACACAATTAGTCTTAAATTATCCATACTCTTAACAATCCAGACATACCTGCAACACTTTAAATCCACATCCTCCAACTTTGAGAACTTCGTCAGCCTTAATTGCTTCAATTGTAGCATTTACGATTTCATTGGAATGAGATCTTGTAGTTGTCAAGATCAACTTATTTTCTGGTGGAGATTTCTTGTTATATCCACTTGTACCCAGTTCCTTTAATCCCCAAATTGTCCTACCCATTTTATTAGTTGTAGCACATTTAAAGAATGGCTGATGAATAATGCCAGCAATTGATGTGTCTCGAAAAGCAATGCCAATTAATACAGTAACATTCTCGACAAACCCAGCAACATATTCACCAGTTCCATCTAATGGATCAACCCAAACTACTAAATCATTTTCAGAAATATCTTTAAAAGATTCTGGACATTTATACTGCTCAAGGAACTGCGAGTCAATTTTATCTACAATTAACTCTTGTGGTATTTTAGACAAATCTTCAGCTCCTTCTTCGCCGATAATCTTCAGATCTTTATATTGCTTTGACAACGATCCAATAATTATCTGCTGACACTTCCGATCTGCTTCTGTTTGAGGATCAAAATTCTTTTGGCCCTAAATGAAATCATCCAGGAATTAATTAAAATTTATGTCTTTTGATAATTCCACTTACTTTATCTACAACGTTTAAATCTCCCGTGGACATTATGTCACGTATTACTTCACCGGCTTTTTCGGCAATCGACAAGCTACTTGCCTGCAATTGAAATCAACAATTTCACCGATAAAATATTGCAAAATCAAAAAGAAAAAAAATTCCTAAAACTTACCATAATTCTCATAATTAAAGGTGCTGATGCGGCCATTCTTATTGACATTAAGTTATCGTCTAAATGGTATATTCACAAACTAAAATACAAAAGCTATTTATGCCTTAAAATGTAATTCCTTGAATTTATGTATCTAGATTTACAATAAAATCTCGACTGATAAGAATTTTTACTAGTTCCAAATCCTGTATGTATTGTAAATAGCGGTTCCATTATTATCGGTACTGCAGCATTTTGGTAAATAAGCAAGAAAATCAAAAAAATTCGCCTGGATCATCAAATTTGATCTCAAATTGCATCGAAATTGGTTGATTTTTACAAAGAATCAAGTGATAGACAGGCAAGAAATCTAAGGTACGGAATAGTCGGGAAGATAAGGACGCTAAAATAATTTTTGTAAACAAAACCATAATTTACAGAAAAAGTGCTTTATTTAAATATTTTCATAGCATCAAGATGATCCAGCGAATACTGCGGTCAAATATTCAGCTGCAATTTATACGAAATATATCTGGTATACAGAATCTTTTCTCGAGTGCCAATATTAATAAGCATGACGATGAAGATATTAGTGAGGATGTGATTAATGCTAGTCGGGAAATATCCAGAGATACTAAATCAGAAGTTGACAGCAAAAAAGTCCAAGAGCTGCTATCTCATGTCAATTTGACTCACAAGTTTAAGCACTTCCTTCATTGTACCGATGCTGAAGCTACGAAAATGATAAATTCACATAAAAGGCTTATAGATACTGATTCTGGTAAAATAAGCATCATGATTGAGTATCTGTTTGACAATGAAATATCCATAAGAACGATCATTAATAATTCTTGGCTGCTAACAATGGATAAAGGTAAAAGATCCAGTTGAATATTATAAAAGATCCAGTAATCATTAAATTCCTATTCTTTTACAGAATATCTTAGAAAGAAGTTAATAAGAGTGAAGATGCTGAAGCCAAAAAATATAAATGATGTCATTCCTCTTCTCCAAGCTTCTCATGCAGCATTAAATCGTGCTGTAAAGATTGTAGAACGTGAAAGAGGTTTTCTAGCTGAAGGTAGTAGAATTTACTATTTAAGTGAGAAGCTGAATTTGGATCCAGCATTAGTATCAAAGTATTTAGCTACACACATGTTCATGTTTGAGGTTTCATTTGAGATGCTGACTGACAATTTGAAAATTATGCAGGAATATAATGTTGATTCAATTTCTATTATCCGTGACTTTTGGGCCTTTAAGTACTATCCAAAAACGATTAGAGACAGACTAGAGAGATGTAAGCAAGGCGGTAAGGAGAACTTAAAGCCTTGGATGATTAGATGTCCTGAAGAGGTACTAGAGAACTCTTTAAAGCTTACTCAAGAGAATAACGAGTTGTTTGGAACTACAAATGGGATTATTGACTATCTCTCCGAGAGATTAGGATACGACATTTTAACAATAAAGTCAATTGTCAATAGACATCCAACGGTGCTTAAATGTCGAGGAGCAAAAGTGAAGGAAGTTTTAGATTATCTGTTGGACGAAGAAAAGTTTGAGCCTGTAGACATAGCACGAGTAATTCGTGTCCTAACACATTCATTAGCTACAACAAAAAAACGATTAGCGGAACTAAAGGCTGTTGGATGCCGTCCATCAACATTATCAATCATTTGTCGTTCAAGAAGAGAATATTCGAAATTTCTAAAGGAATGGATGGACAGGCAAGATGGTTTTGACAAGTATCCTGTAAATTAAGAGTATATCCAATAGAATTGTAGCTCATAATAAATAGATTACTTAATTGTTTTATTCTTCTAATTTAAATTGTCTTGTTCTCAAAAGACTTGTGCCTCAGAAATCCTACTTACGTCCTTAGACTGCACAAAATGTGAAAATGAATTACAATGTACATAAAACACAGCAGCTGATAATCGTGCCTGTAAATCTTGTTGACTCAAATCATGAGACCATTCAACACGTCCCCAATGTCCAAGTTGATACTCTTCCTCGAGTCTAGATAGTAGAACTGCTTTTTCGGGCGTTATGAATCTGTCAATGCATGCAAAAGCTAAAACTACAGACTTTAATGTATCAACAGCAAACTGAAATCCATGAAGTGTATCTAAAGTATGCGACCTCAAGTACTTGCTTATTTCCATTTTAGCATTTGTAGGGAAATTTGGTGGCGATATATCGTCAGTTTTCTGCAAATCTGTATTATATCGCTTATTGAACCAATTAATGATTGGGTTCCATAATTCAATTTGTAGCTTGTATAAATCAGGTTCAGCCTGATTATGAAACAGAACTGTGTCTGTTTCTGCAAATGACAGCAAGTAATTAATAATATCCTCCTTTGATAAATGATTAGGGTTGTCTAAAGCTGTATTTGCTAGTGACGTTAACATCATTCTGGATCTTTCAATCGTGTCCTTTTGTGAATTCCATTCAGCTGCAATCGCAAGTGCTAATGGTTCGCTAGCTACTTGAAACACTGAGCCGTTTGGTGTCTTTAATTTCTTTTGATCTAATGTTATTTCATACTTTTTGTCAGCATACAGAATGCTTGATTCTTTGTAGAATCTCTTAATTGGTGCAGCTTTAGAATAACTTAATTAATTTATTGAATTCATAAAAATATCATTTTCACTTACGATAAAACCGACAAATTGTTAAATTATTGCATAGCTGGGTAGCTAATATCCTCTTACTTAAGCTACTCTTTATTAAATTCCTAATCATCTTTAATTAACCGAGATATTTAATTATTTTTTTAAATTCAGCATGAACATAAACAAACGCAACTTGACTGCAATTTTGAATGCCTTGAAGTTAGCTGTGATTCAAGATATTTCAAAAAGATCGTTAATTTCGGCATGTAATATTTTATTAATTCTTTATTAGAAGGCAAATTGCTAAGGAAACATGTTAATTCAATCACTAGTAATGTTTTGTGCATTAATAAAATCATTAATATATTGTGACCAGTCGTTAATCTTCTCATCATCCTTAATTGGGTTCCAATTTGGTGATGGCATGTCAGTTGAAAGCCAGTTAAAGTCTCCAACATTCTCCCAATTATTAATGCTTCCATCAAGTCCAGACTTTTGCAAATCACTCTCGTACTCGGTATATGAATAAGTATTAGGTGCAATGTTAATATCCTTACAATCTTCGATAATTGCCCGTGATGTTACCAAAATGTAAATATTGCAGAATGTTGAGGAATGAAGACGCAATTGTTGGCATGCAAATGCAAAAGTACAATTCTCAACGTTATCAGCAAAAACTGAACGTGATACAGCTCCACAAAGGACAAGACAATTCTTCATTTTTGACATTTGAAGTGATCCAGCATGTCCATTAATGAATATTACACAATTTTCCATTTCCTTAAATGTCAAGTCTTGATTATTGACTTGATCACCGCTGTACTTAAGCAATTGATTAGTTTTTTGCGACTCAGTCCATAGAAATTCCTTCCTTTTCGGCTCCTTAATTTCTAGCTTCACTTGACCATCCTGAATGTCACTGTCTTGCTTTGTCTTACTCGATTTATTCTTGAATCCAAACTTCTTTTTAGGCAAAAGTCTAGATTTTGTCTCATCGGACTTGGTTAATAGCTGATTAATTACATTTTGACATGTTTTAATTTTATGGTCACTCAAAAAGAATGTTGAGCTAGTAAAATATTTCTGTAGGTCCTGCAAATCTCGTACAATTGAATTGAATTCTTCTTGTAATTGCACCAAATCTTTAGACGTAACCATAGCATCAAGTGTTGTCTCTATTTCACATACTTTTCCATCAAAAACGCTTTCAAAGTATTGAATTCCTTCCTTTTCTGTCTTGTTCTGTCGTGCCTTTTGATTCTTTTCGTTTGCCATCTTCCTCTCACGATCACGTCGAGCCATCATCTCAAAGACTGTGCTCTTTGATGCTTCCGTTTTAACATCCTCACCTTCCATATTTAATTAATTCTTTTTAAGACTACTATATTTATCGACTACGCCCAAATTATTTAGATTATTTCACGTTTTGTTGGTTGTTGTGGATTTGATTGATTAGTTGAATCTGTAGATTGTTGCAAGTAGACTGGATCTTTTCGTTCAGCTGATTCCTTTAACTTTTTCAATATCAATTCGTTTCTTTTGCGAACTTCTGGATCTTTATATTTTGTACCGTGAATTTCTCTTAATTTTTCTGGAGTAGGTTCGGTTAATTTCATCAATACATATCCGATTGTGGTAAAAGAAGCTAAATATACTAACGATTTAATGACTCTAGCCATAAATTATTCTTTACTATTGTCTTTGACTGCTTTTGCGAAGAATTCTTGATCAAATTTTCTTGATTCTAGTGACTTCTCTGGATCCCAGTAATCACCAATCTTATAATATCCTTCTAGCACAGCTGGGTAATTTGAACCGATACGATATCTAAATGCTGATTAAATAGGTCAGTAACAGGCGTTAAAAGACTTAATTTCAAGGACTTATTCTCATATTGGAACTTACCTTGATCAGTATTGAGTTTTTTCCAGAATAAATAAGTTCCTCCTAATGCTGTTAATTCTAGGACAGCTCCGGCGATTCCTACTTTAAGACCGAAACGTACCCAACTTTTAGGTAGCTTCCTTATCATTGAAAATTAAGAAGATATTGGAAAATTGAATTGTTGGAAATTAAATTGTGAAATAAATTTCAAGTAAAGAACTTCAATTTTACAGCAGCATAAGCGCATTTTCTGACACTTCATATTTTACTAAAACAGTTGATGTTTAAGGTATGCTTTTTGTTTTTGAAGAGTAAAGCAGTAATTACAGTGTTCATTAAATTTTGCAATATCAGAAGATTAATGTGTCAGACAAACTGTAATATATAACACGTTTTCAAATTAAAATGCTTAAAATTGCTTAAAATCATCATCAGTTCTGTTAAAAATTCAAATTTATTATAGCCGTTTATTCTAATTTTCATGCCATTTAATGTTCTTAATTTGTTCTAGAATCTTATTTTTTATGTCGTCACTCAAGTCTTTATGCTGCTTTAAAATATGTTCGCGATATTTATCCTTTCTGCAAAATATCATTTCACATCCAAAGCACTTTCTCGATACTTTATTGTGGACTCTCTGATTGTGTCTTTTTAAGTCTCTTAAAGTGTAAAATGTGTTATTGCATTCTGTGCATGAGATGGACCGTTCGTTTTTATGCTTAAGCATGTGATGTTCCCATAAAGTTTTTTGGTGAAATTTCTTGTCACAGTTCTCATATTCGCATGCATATTTTGGGTCCTAGAAGAATTAATTAAAGTTAAATTGATTGCCATTGAATAGATCATGAAAAGTAACTTACTGAGTGATACTTTAAGTGCAGTTTAAGGTTCTCAATGCATGTGTACAACTTCCCACAAACTTCACATGAGATTTTCTTTTCTCCATGAACATGCTGCATGTGTTTCTTTAAGTCACGATGATAGAACTTCCTCTTACAGATTGTACATTGAGTATTTCGTTCCTTTTTATGATACGACCTTATATGATCCATCAACTGCTTCTTATAGTCATATTCCTTACTACAAAGAGGACAGTACTGCAATTTTCTTTTCATCTTTCTGTTTTTGGCATCTGTTACGTGTACCTCATTTATATGCTTCCTCAAAAGTATTTTACTATGAAACTTTAAATGGCACTTATTGCAATCATTGTCATCGCCATGCATTAATTCTACGTGTTCCTTAAAATGACTTTTTAATACTTCCATATCACAAGTCTCACAGATTTCACTCTCAAATGGTGATTCAGACATAGACATGCTTTGGTCATTAGCCATTTCACTGTCATTAAAATAATTAACAATAAATTCTGTGTCTTCTTCGTTCTCATCAATTTTCTCTATTTTTAGAACATTATCGGCGATATTTTGTGAATCATTATCATCGTATATTATCTCGCTTTCATCGTACTCATCAGGTTCTTCTTCTATTTCCTCTAAAATCACTTCATTGTCGAATTCATCATCTTTTATTGTTTCAATCATTTGTATCTCATAATCATCAAGCTGTTCTTCCTGTATCTCATCGCCTGGTTCATTTACATCCAATCCAGCTAATTCATATAATCCAGTCTGCTTTGTTACTAGATCTATAGACATAATATTTGGATATAAACACAGCGAAATTGCACAAAAATTCTTTTTACCTTTTCTGAGGTCAACAAACGTCTGTAAGTCTATTTGGCACAACTGGCATATTCTATTTGCAAACAGCTCTGAAGATATAAGCTGGAAATTCAGTTAAAATCAGCTATAAGTGCATAAATTTAAGTAAACAAATTTTACCTCGATTTGCGTTAAGGAAAAAAACTGATTTCTTATTATTTCGTCTATTTGAACAGCTTTTCGGTCATCAATTAGCATTCTAAAGCAGCATCTACACTTTTGCAAGTTATTTACTAACTGCCTTTCGTTCTCTATCTCCTCCATTTAATTTAATTAAGGTTTTTTTTTTTTTTTTGGAAATTTGTGTTTACATTTGAAAGACAGAATATTTTGAATTTTTAAAAACCGTTGGAATATTTTGATTTAACTTGATTTGTAGAAATCATTAGAGTAAAAATCTGGAAAGAAACAGCAGGCAGCATAATAATACACGCATTGTTAAAGTCTACATTAAAATAAAATTTAATCTCTTTTTATTCTTTTCAAAGATAATTTTTTTCTCATTTAAATAACTTTTTAAATAACGTTCTATGTCCTCTATAATTGTATTTAATATAGTCATCGCATTAAAATTTGGAATCATAATAATTTGTTTAATTCTTTTGTAGTATTGCAATTTAAGATTAAAATCGCTCATGTATGAATTTCCTGACTTACAAACAAATCCATAAGCATAAGTATGATACTTAATATTCAGTTCATTCCCTTAAATCAGTAGTTCGAATGACAGGCGTACGAAGAAGCAAGCAACTATCAGAAGATATAATTGGGAGGCAGTTTGACCAATGGTAATTTATTAAGTGTGTAATGCTCTCGAAAATTCTATCTTTTGTACGTACAATGCCTTGTGGATCAATTAATAGCAAATGCTTTGGAGTTCCATTCAATCCAGACAAAACAAATTGTCCAGGCTGTTGAGATTCTCTTACTAGAAAGTCTCCGTCATTTTTAAGAAATAATTCAGCCTCATTTCGAGAAATTGGTCCGTGGAACCAATTTTCAATCAACAACTGTGAATATTGAAGTTCTGCTGATAATTTATATGGTGTCGTGTCAAATGGACAGTTAAAGACATCCGAAAATGTCGCATTATTATTATTATTATTATTACTATTAGTATTGTTGTTATTATTACTTTGTGGAAATGCAGCTTCATCATTAACATAATCATTATGCTCGCCCAAATCAATTAAGTTACTAGTCAATCGTTCACGTCGTCTCTCAGGTAATTCCTCAAGCTGTGGTGGAACCTTGTCAGGTAAATCGTTGTAATACTCTTGTTCGCACTTTTGTGCTGGTGGGCTATGCTGTATTTCTGGCTTCTGATGTCTCTTCCATGAATGCGTTCGTTCTGCATCGTCGTTGCAAAAGTTTTTGTAGCGTAATTCAAATGCTTGGCCCATTGTTGAAATGACTGTTTGAGCCTTTCCACTACCGCAATCGAGTACATAACAAGCTCTCCATTCCATCAAATCCTTGGCAACATAAGCGACGAAATTTACTGAATCACTGTCTCCTCCACTTGCGAACTGTAGACAATAATAGATTTTTTTTATGATTAATAATGTTTAGTCACAGACTAGCTTTATGTGCAATTGAATTTTCAATTATAAACGGCTAATTTTATTTTGAATTTTATGCTTTACCAGAAACAAATATTCAAATTTTAAAAAACTGTTAAAATTTATAAAATTAATTTTTCGCTACTGTACTTATTTAGCATATTTATATTAAATTGCATGACTTACGGAAATTCTCGGCATATCATGTTTCGCAATAATTTCATTTGTATCGGAATTTGTGAGTTGTAAGCAGCTAGACGATATGTTGAGAATAACATTTGTACCAGTATGTTCCATACAAGGCTGATTGTTGATTACCTAGAAATTAAATAAAATTATACATAAATGCGTCATTAAATATTACTCATACATGATAAAATAATCAGTAACTCACTTGCTGTATCCTTTTTTCGACTCTCCGCTTCTTCATTGGTCTCAAATTTGCGAAATCACATACACGATTGATGCATTCCTTAGCAACGAGCGATCTTTGATTGAGACGGATGAGGAAGGATGGAATTAGCATATGATTAATGTTTAATTCAGATCTTATTTACCGTGATTGAAAGTCCAATCGTTTCATACTTTCTGTAATCTCAATACAGCCAATATATCTAACGCTAAAGTTGACACCACCATTCATTATAGCACTCTCTATATCTTCCCATGATGCATCACATCCAGCTCCTGGTGATTCCATAATTTAATTATTTCTTTTGACACAAAAATGGCAAAAAATCAATTTTTTTTTGGACGAAAATAAATTTTTGATTAATTTCTCTTATTTAACTCAACAAATTGACACAACTTGACTTTTCACATCAACTTTACTTATCACAGTTTTCAAAGGAAGGATTAAACTACAACTATACAGCTTGGATACGTCTAAAATCATTAATTAAACTATTATATCTGAGAACAAGAAAAATAATAAAGAAAATGGTCAATTCTACGAAACAGCATAAATTTCAAAAATCTCGTTAAAAGTGTTTTACAATAATCGATTTCTCCTGCTGTTTTTTTCATGGATATTCTAGACAGACAGTCAGAAATAAGCATTGAGCATACTTTTTAAATAAATGTTAGCTGTTTACAAACAAAAATCAGTCAAATAAATTGATTTAACAAATAAAAGCGTGGAAAAGCAATTAAAATGTCGTGTGCCGTGCCAGAGTGCCAGCAATTGAAGCAGTCGTCTGAAAAGGTATCCCTCCATTTATTCCCAGATCCAAGAAAAGATCCAAAAAGGCATTTAAAATGGATTAAAGCAATTAATTCGGAAAGAATCTTTAAATTTGATCCTTCCGTCGTCTTTAAACGATTTAGAGTCTGTCGTAATCATTTCTCTAAGAATTGCTTTAACGGTGATTGTAAGAAACTGCTTCTAAATGCTGTGCCTACATTGAATATCAATAGTAGAAAAGTGAATTTGAAGTCGTATTATTATTACGAAGAAAAGATCCTGCAGATGCTTAAAACAAATTCTGTGGATATTGAGGAAGACTCATTGAAGATTATTAGTCTTGATGATATTCAAATGCTGTCTGAACCAATAGAGACTGAAAAGTTATGGAATAATATAGAAGTTGACAAAGATACAGCAGATAATGATGAATCGGAGTTTGTTCTAATGGAAGTTGAGAAGCATGATAATCAAGCACAATATACAATTGTCATGCCTTCATCTGAGAATGCTGTAAATCCTAATCTATTAAAATACAGTTCAAATATCGGAAAAGCTAGTTTGATGCAAGAAAATACAGATATCAGTAAGTAACATACTTTATGCTGTATTATGTCCACAGACACAAATTTTCATTATTTTCAGCACCTTTCAACAAAAACAAATTAAAGCAGATCCAAGCCGCATTTAACAGTGACCCAAAGAATTTACTAGCTCAAAACATATGCAGTAAGATGTCAGTCTTTGATGCTGCGATGTTAGCAGAGAATACACAGTTCTATAGTCATGAAATTGATTTAAAGATATCAGAGAATATTGAGAACTTCCATTGGTCCTATACATTACTAGCCGTGCTTAAAATGCCATTCATGAAAAAGTTTAATTTAATTGATTTTGAATTCTCACAAGGGCACTTCCTGTATCACGAAAATGTTGAAAGATGCTATTCATACCTTAGCAACTTGGCAACAATTCTCAAGTCTAATGATAAAAATGATCGATTAATGTCATTTCTGCTTGATGATCCATTGAAAGAAGGAGGTCGATGGAGTATATTTGCGAGTATCATTAATAAGTACGGTCTGATGCCGAAAGAAGCATTCAAATGTCATATTAGCAGTGATAAAGTTAAAAACATGACTAGAATATTAAATACAAAATTAAGAGACTATTCAAAGCAATTATTACATCTAGCTTCCAAAAATATGAACACGAATGTGATTATTGATTTAAAAATGGTCGAAATCTGCAACATCATATCCCTTTGTATAGGAACGCCACCTGATAACTTCCACTGGAGCTGCCATAATACAAATAATGTCTTGACGCCAATAGAATTTTATGAGCAGCATGTTAAGACAATAATCAATGTTGATGATGCATATTCTCTAATTAATGACCCTCGACCTTCATTGAAATACCAAAATTTATACACGACTGCATATTCAGATATTATAATTGGTGGAAATAAGATGTTATCTAACAATCAACCGACTGAAGTCTTAATTGACGCAATTTCAAAATCTATAATTAATGAAGAGCCTGTTCTTGCCATTTGCAGTTTAAATGGATTGAACGACTTTAAATTGTAAGCTGGCTAATTTATTTATTCATGAGCACGTTAGTGATTTATGAATCTTTCCAGGAAAAACTTTCACATGCTGTGCGACATTAAGGTTTACTCATCTATGGATAAATCTAATAAAATAGAACTAAGAGATTTCTCAGAAAATATTGCAATGATTATTACTGGCATATCCACGGACTCAAATGGAAATCTTGAGAAGCTTCGCTTAGAGCACTTTAAAGATGGACAGAAAATAATTACAAGTATATCAAAGAATTGTTTTAATGAATTAGTTTTAGAAATTATCATAAATAAGAAGTTCTTAAGTGATTACGTGAAATGTGTGTATGACTTAACTCCTATTGTATTATCCACTTATGATCCTCTTTCAAACTTATTTATTTAAATTGCTTCTACTTAAAAGTTAATAAATAATGTTATTTTAAACAATAACATGTCTTGCATTTAATTTATTTTTAAAATGTTAAATAGATCTACAAATTATTTGATAACAAGTTAAGATGTTAATTTTTCCCTGCATAGAATTCTCGTAGAAATAAGTTCTTTAAATTTAAATAAATAAATTATATAAGGTTTAAAAATTTATACTATTTGGAATGATGTTCGTTCTCCATCTGCTTTAAAATCTTTTCCAACTCAAACAAATGTAAATCTTGATGGTAATGATTTGGAAAATATTTTCGCATTGCTTGACATAAATTATAGACATACTTTATGTTTTCGCCTGATGGTCCTACAGCGTTAAAAACTTGTTTTGCAATATTGTTCAAATCATGATCAGGATTCCAAGATGAATTGTTGGAATCAGCAACATAAACAACAACATTTTTAACACTTTCTTCATTGTCAATTGGATAGAATAAAGTTTTATATCGCTCATATCCATTTTTTTCACGAAAATCTAAATGTTTCAGAACTTCATTAGATTTTTCTTGTGATATTTTATATCCAATTCCATAAACTCTTTCATCGTCATTACCCTTGATTAATGTCACAACCCGACCTGAACATTTTACAGTTAAAATCAATCTTTTTTTTTTAAGAATGATTAAAATCATATTGATAATTATTTAACAAACCTGGTTTCTCTACAACTCCACGATGATCAATAGAATTTTGGTAAAATCTTCGTTTAAATCCTTTTATAAAGCCTGGTATTTTGGTTTCAAACTCAAAATCATTATTTTTCCATACCTAAAACATAAAGTTTAATAATTAAATTGACAATGAAAAGTTGTTTGATTTGTTTCATACCAAACTACCATATCCAAAAATATAAGTATCCTCTGTCGTCATTATGTTAATGATTTTAAACTATATTTTGAGTTTATTTATTATTATTATTTTTTAAAAACAAAAGTTCACGTGGTTTGTAAAATGACTTTAGCGCATTTTTGTCTTAATTGTATTGGATCTTACTATTCCGCATTGTATTGTATAAGGAAGTTTAATCGACAAACTGTTTTTATTTTTCTTTTAAAAGGAGCTATCTTGCTTGAAGGTATTTTATTTGTTCATTTTATTTTATTATTTCATTTAAAACATTGATTCCAAATAGTTTAAATTTGTCAATCAAATTGTAAAGAATACTTTTTAATTACTGAACATTTATTGATATTTTGGAATAGGAAAACAAGGCATAAATTTTGCAATGGTTTTCATTAGTCTTCAGATTTCTTGTCAATTTGAAAACATAGAAGAAATCAAGACTGATTCTAGCTATTCTTATTTCTTAAAATTGAGATGTAATAATTGTGGAGAGTCTGATGATATTTGGCACGACATTTGTGAAGAGGTATTGTTTACATAAATCAAATCATCAACCACGTATACTAAATATCCTCAATATTAAAAACAAAAACTTAACTTCCAGGAAAGGACTCAACATGATACACGTAACGCAAAAGGCTATAATATGATAATAAAATGTAAAATGTGTTCACGTGAAAATACCATAGACATTGTTGAAGATTCCAAAAAAAGCTATGTTGAGGATGACACCGGGAAATTGAAATCGATTGTAACATTTGACTGTCGAGGAATAGAGCCAATAGATTTTGATCCTCGTGAAGGTTTTATTGTGAAATCTTCCGATAATGGTATGTCCTTCATTTATTGCTCCAAAGCACTATGCTAATGCTTATATTTTCTACAGGAACAACATTTGATAATGCTGAAATCGAGAATGGAGATTGGTGCGATTTTGATGAGAAAAATGGGAAAAGTGTAGCAATTTCAGAGTTTAAGTCAAATTTTGTTAAAGTCAAAGGTACCAAAAAGTAATTCAGTTTCCAAGAACCGCTCTGTTTATAAATTTTTGCAAGCTTCTGTATGTTCAACATTAACATCAAAATAAAATAAAAACAATTCTATTTGAATAAGAACCGTCTTGTAAATGATTTCTTAGCTAAGGATGTTGCTTTCAAAAAGCAGTTTAAATTTTAAGATCTTAAAAAATAACGTTCAGAAAACATTTGAAAAACATAGTGGATAGAAAATAACTGTCAAATTTTTTTAAAAACGACTGTTAATTTATTTACAAGTTACACGTTAATAGTTATTCCTTAGAAAATAATTCTAATTTACATTGAAGACTTAAAAGAAAGTGAAACAAAAATTGTGAGTTTAAATAAAATTCTCTCTTTATATAAGGATGAAAACAGCTTTGATGAAATCTGTTTTTGTACATTCGTCATAATATCTTTAGTCCACGTCACAATTCACTAAATAATCCATTACGTTCTTGATAGTCTTGAGTTGTGCCATTGATGATGCGTCAGCCTAAATTAGATGAAATTATTAATAAAAGAGCAAGTTATTATGTGTGAAATACTTACGCTGACAGTAAGATTCAAAAACTCGTAATATTGCTTCAAAACAACGACCATAGTTTCGAATTTGCCATCTCTTAAGTATCTGCGAGCAATTGTCTCATTGTTTGGATTATTCATTATTACGAAACCAAGTAACGTGCAAGTGAAACTTCCCAAAATTGTATTCTCCATATGCGTCCCAGAGTTTTGGATCACTAAAATCAAATCATTAATGTTTTTATTGCTAAATTATCAAAATAGTAACTTACATGCGTTGACAGCTTCTTCTTGCTTTGCATCGCGTTTCTTAGAGTTGTCGATCAAGTCATCAGTCAATTTTTTGAGGGTCCTTTAATAAAATTAAAGTAAATTTAAATAAATCATCAAATTTGACATATTCAAGACTTACTTTGCATTATCTTCGCATCTATAAAAGAACTCAATAAGAGATTTAATTGCAGGCTGTTTTTCCTTTCCAAACTCTTCAGCTGGAATCGATAACTGCATAATACTCTGACGATTCTTTTCATTAAGTTGTGTTAAGTTACTAAGTAGTACAAGTGTCTGTAAAATAAAGAAAATAAATTATTGCTGATACAGGAATAAAATGAATTTAATGCTTACTAAAAGAGAAAAATCAAATTGAAATCGACTTGAGACGTAGGTTACACCAAAAAGTAGTGAATTAATTGAAATCTGGAATATCTCCTTGAAGTCGCCAAACAAAACGCTTCCGATTGCTGCAAAGAATTAATAAAATAATTAAGTTTTTAAATTTAAAAAAATAACAGTGATTTAAAATTTGAATTGAGTATTGAAAAGCTACAAAATTCAAATAGAATTTGATCGTTAAAAAGGAGTTTTGCTTACCACGTTCATTGAAAGGATGAGTTAAATTAACAATAACTTTAAGTAGGGTTAAAAGTGTCTCACGAATAGCGACGCCAGCAAAGTCTTTTGCACTTTTCTCAGTTGTTGGATATAATGTAAGCTCTGTACTCAGCAAGTTATAGAAACGACACAGCGTCTTGATAAATACTTGAGATTTATAATGAAGGATGTACTTTTGATTCTCTTCACTATTACTCGTCACATTCTCAAGAATCCTCAAGCATCTTCCAATTTTATTGAGTTTTTCTAATAGTAGCTCTGTCCATTCCTCAACATAATCAGTGACTTGATTGCAGCATTCGTGAACTGTCTTAATTATATGCTCAATTCCTCCTAATTCTCTCAAATCCTCTTTGAGCCATTCACCGGCACGTTTAGAAGTTAATGACAATAAACTTTCCATAGCTAGTTGTGCTGCCGTAATATTATCAAGGTTCAAATGAATCGACTTTCCTTGACTTTGAATTTCCTCACATAATTCTCGTACCTTCTGTTTTCGTTCTATATGCTGCTTATTCATGACAATATCTTTTGGAAATTGCTTCTGATCAGCTTCACATTCCAGCAAGTTAAGCATCAATTCCAGTGAGCCACGATCCAAGTCCATTTTAAGTGTATCCTGTGACAAGGCAAACATAACCATTGCTGTACACAATCCTAAACTAGGATCATTTGGAGCATCCTCGAGTGCCTTAAAGAATTTAGGAACGATTCCATGAGCTCGAATGTGCATTCTAAATGATGGCGTCATACATTTTGAGGCAAGTTGCAAGGCAGAAAGACATCGCAAGGCAACTTGACTGTTTGGCTGTAAAGCATCTAGTAAATATTCAACATCATCGTCCATCTCTTGAAATTCACCAATCTCTTGGATCTGATGTGCTTTCTTTACATTTCTTACAACTTGATAATAATCTTTAGCATTTCTATCATGATTCATACCAGCAAGTGGCATATCATCTTCATCAAAATCATCAATAATTGACTCTTTTACATTATTTTCTGTCTTCTTATGTCTCGAAAATCGTGAAATTCCTGACGTTTCACCATCAAAGAATGTCGTTGCTGCTCCCGAGTTTGTTATTGTGCTTAACGTCTCTGCTTTATCGTTGGCATTATTTGCTTGATCTGCTAATTCTGCATCTTCATCCCATGTATGTTTATACAAGTTAAGTCGCTTCTTATTGTTATCTTCGTCCTTGTCTAATGCTCGACTCTTAAAAATACTTCCTTTCTTCTTTGAAATTAGCAGCTTAACACCTGGATTACTATTATTTTCATTTGACTCTTGCTGTTTTTGTAGATGATTATTATTGTATTGTTTATTTGGACTACTTCGAGTTGTTGGCGCTGGAACTTGATCAACATCCATAGGAGTCGGTTTATCTTGTTCCCAGGATCGTTTAACAAGTTTCTTGTGTTTGTATTCTGGAACTTGTGGAGGTAAAATATCATCAGACATTGATGTACTGGAAGTTGTATTCAGTGATCTTTGACTTAGATTTAGAGCTGCCGTTTGATCATCTGTGGACATAAAAATTATTGATTAAGTTTTAACGGTTTTCTGATAATCAAATATTTTAGCGGGTTTTTTTTTGAAAAATTCAAATATATTTAACGGATTTTTAAAAGAAAGTTTACCTGTAGAAACTGACGAATTATGATGATCAATTTCTTCTATCGGTGGTTGTGGCTGTGGATCTGGATTCTTTCTCTTTCGTGACTTAGGAATTGAGACTGTAGATGCTTCCGTTATATTCTGTGATACATTATTGACGTTATTATTTCGAGTGTTTCGTGTTGAACGTTTTTCAGGACTTGAACTATCGCTTTTTGTTGGTGATACATCAGGAGATGTTATTGATTCCACAGATTCTGCTCTTAATTGTTGTGCCTTATTTCTTGTATTTCTCGTTCGAGTTGCTGGCTTTTCAACAATTATCGGTTCCGGTGGTTTCATTTCAATTTCATTAATTTCAGGCATTTGTTTTTTTCTACCACGACGACCTTTTTGGACAATTGGAGTTTCATCTTGTGAACCATTATTACTGCTAAAGTTTTCAGATCCTGATGGTGGAGCGGCAGCCATTGAACTTTGAATAGACGTGTCAACATCACTAGTTACGACACTCGAACTTCGACTATGAATAACTTTACAATCACCTTGGGATGGATTCATAATGCTTGTTGATGTGCCTGTTGTGGCTTGAGAAGTAACACTTCCTAAAACTGAACTTTGTGAATCAAATTCAGACACAATTGGTGATATTCTTGGTGCTGCTGTTTCTATTTTCTCTTGAGCTTTACCACGACGTCTTGTAACACGTCCACTGCTTGGCTCTGATATTTCCGATGGCTCCTTTAAAATTTCCTGTTCTTCTTGATGTTCTTGTTGCTGTAGTTCTTCAGTTTTTTCCTTGGCTTCCTGCTGTCTCAAACTATCATTATAGGATCTAATATAATCTTTTTTAATACGAATACGAATTCGTTCAGGCTTCTGTTCTGGTTCTGGTTGTTCAGGAGCTAAATCTCCAGATAAAACTGCAATTAACTCGTCCGTAGATGTCAAAGCATTATTGTTATTAACAACATTCTTATTTTCATCTCCACTTGAATTGTCTCCACTTAAATGTGGCGATTTTACGCCATCTTCATTGTCCGTGCTGACTAATCGAGATGTTCCCTAAAATAAGCAAAATATAAACAATATTTTTGGCGGTTAAAACTCGTAGCTTTACATCATTATTGAATTTTTATGTCTCAATGATAAGGAAATTCAAGAGCACTGATTAGATAATTCAATTTAATAGGAAGTATAAATGGATAGAAAGAAAAAGTCATTAGTTAAGCACAGTAATTAGTGCAAAGCCTACATTTGTAATATTTTGATTGCTTTTTGAGCTACTTCTAGTCACTCTTTTCGTCATTTCCAAATTAGATAGATGTCAACAGAAACTAATAAATTTTGCACTTGATCGAACTCAATTTAAAACTCATAAAAAACTTTATAAAACATAAAAAAAAAATTTAAGAAGCTTAAAAAACCTTAATGAAATATAACTGCAAATGTAGAGAGAATGAAGAGAAAATTACTTTACTTAAAGAGAAATTCAACGATTACATAGAGGCGTGGACAAAATCACTGTAAGAGTGAGTAGTAACTTTGAGTGTTGGCTTAACTTAATAGAAGTCAAAAAAATATTTGAAAAATAACGACCAAAAAAATTTTGAAAAGTAGCGACAAAAATATATTTGAACTAGTGTATCGAGTAGAAACCCAATGCGGATTATATTCACACCGTACTATCAAAAGTCTTATGGATAGACCAAGATATGCCCATCATAAGTATGAAGGTATGAAGCTTGATAAGTCAACTGAGCTTCGCTCAGCATAAGTTTGAAGTTATAAAGCTATCGCGTCAGCTGAGTTTGAAGGTATAAAGATATAAAGCTTGACGAATATGCCAAACATTCTTTAAAAGTTTTTTAAAAAAAATTTTCATCCAAAGTTGAATTTTATAAAAATCACACTCAACTTTTGTTTTAAAAAATTCGTAAGAAAGGAAAGTTTTTTGCCATTTCTGAAGCAACGGCTGTTCCTACCTTGCCCAAAAACAATACAGCTCTTCTATAGAGCAGCACGGATCAAATGTAAAAAACTAGAAGTCTCTACGATGTCTCGTTATTGAGATTTCTTGCTGATTTACTTGCTTGCTTGTTTGCTTACAGAAAGCGTATATTGCGATTTTCTCAGCAATGCCATAACCTATTTGAAATCTGTTTTTTGAAAATGATGTAAAATTTCAGGCACAAACTTTTCTTCTGTGACCTTTTATAACCAATTTTGCTTTGTTTTATCACAAAATGCGAAAAACTGATTTTTCAATCTGAACAAAACCAATAGATTCACACGTGAAAACGGTGTGAATATAAAAATAACTGCCACAAAATATTTTAAGGCACTGATTTTGAAAAATTGAAATTTAAAATCCCTTAAATTCCGACCGTGCCTCCACAAAAAAGCGATAATAGAGAATAGAGAGTCTAGTTAAGTAGGGGAAGAAAATTGAAGCATGGACTATGTTTGTATTGGTGTGCGACAAATAAATAGACGTTACGTACATGTCGCGTAGAAAAGTAAAGTATGTTATGAACATCTGTTTTGTACTTACTTTGGATATCCTCAAAACTATAGGTGGATGAATAGGAGATTGAGATGGAATTGCTTCTGTTGAGGAAGGTGCTTGATTGATTGTTGGAGATTCGATTTCTGGATGTTCTTCTTGTGTTGAAAATGACTCTTGCGTAGATAATAATGCTGCTTCTTTTGCAAGCTGCTCTTCTTGTTGCTGTTTTAATAATAGTCTTGGTGCTATGCGTTTCTCGGTTCGCATAATAAACTCTTCTTCGCCTACATCTTCATTATAATTAATTTTGCCCCGTGCCCTATTCGATGATCTTGTTGCTTCTATGGCTGCACGACTTCGTTTTGATGGCGATGATTTATCACCTTCAGATGTGACTGTTTCTGTTGTTGTCTGTTTACGTACTTTTTGTACTTTCGGTGGCTTTTCTTTCTTGATTTTTATAGGCTTTTCAACTTTTGGTTTCTCAACTTTCAGCTTCTTTTCCTTTTTCGGTGATCCTTTCTTGACTTTATTCATTTTTTGTGGACTCTGTGACTGTTCATCTGATGATGATGGATGCTGTATATGATTATTATGTGCTTGATTTTGTTGCTGTATAGCTATTTGTTGTTGTAATGCAATTTGTTGATGTATTTCAGCAGCTCCTCCTGAATTTCGACTTTTAAAGAATTTTCTTGGTTTGGGAGTCTGTTCCACAGATATTTTTGTATCATTTAGGTCGGGACTTGTTGGTGAACTAGCTGAATTTTGGATTGGACTTGTAGAATTGAGTGCTCCCATATCTATAAATGTCAAAAATAATGTAATTTTAATGATTTCGATTCGAATGCGATTATTAAGGATACTTACTGTAACATGAAGAACGTATAGAAGTAAATTGCATCATGCCAAATTTCATTACAGTTCCAACAGCCACAGAATTCTTGTTTTCCTTTTCGCGTAACAGATTATCGAGCGGTACGACTGTTTGCTGAAAGCGATTACTTCCACTTTTATTCCAACGAGACATTTTGGTAGCTTTTATACTTCTTTTAATTCGAAATAAATCTCAAAGTTTAATTGTATTTCTTTGAAAATACTTTTGTTGTGCGAAAAATTGATTCTTTAAAACATATCTAATGTCTATAAGGTATTTTCCATTTAATACTTCTCGTGCTATCAATCAAATTGCAATAATATCAAGCACAGCTGTTTTTCAATAAGTTTAATATTTTTTTTTTTTCTTGCAAAATCGAGGAAAATTTAAAAATGATGAGTTTTGTTGAAGAGAAGTAACATTAAAGGCTAATTTTATGTAAACTTAATGGCTGTGCAACAGAATATTACACTTCAAAGCATTCTTTTCACTGATTTACCTCTAATCTCTGTAAATTAATTAATTTTCTTTTCTCTTAGCTAAATTACTGTTTATGTTATGTTTCTTAAACGTCTACATAACCCTGATTTTTTTGTGGGAAGTCAGCACTGATTTTCAGTCAAACTCTCAGCTAAACCAATATGAGAATGATGCTTTTATCAGTAGTTCCAAATTGTTATGTTTAATACAACGATAAAAAAGCTGGAAAGAATGTAAACAAGGTATTTAATTTATCGAGTTTTTTCACCATTCCTAATCTCGTGCTAACTTCAACCAAGTTTTTGGGCATTCCATAGATGGCGCATTTCAAATTATTCAATACCGTTAATTAACGACAAATCTACATTAAACAATAAAACGCTTATTGGAACTGATCAGTTCCATTTAAAAGTTTTCAAGTTGCTTTACCCATAAAGAATTTTATTACAAATTTTTTGATACAAAAATCAAGTAATTTATCCCATTGCAAATGGTGAATTACGGTTGGTGCTCAAATGGAAGATTCCTCTCAATCCAACATTTCCAGGTTCTCCTCCCATAGATGCTTCTCGTGCTCCTGTGCATCTTGAATTTGTTGCATCAGCAAATGTATTACATCTTACAGCAACAAAACGATTACTTATAATTGTTTCGGCAAATAATTCGTGAGCTCTTGAATGACTGCATGATCCAGTAACATCAACTAAGCATCCTGGCTGATTGTCACCCCCGTTTGGATAGAAGTCTGCATGGCAGAAAGGATCAGGAAATCCTGAACCCCCTATGTTCGTACGGATACCTTCTGTGTAAACTGCATCCTCTGCATCCAATCGTTCATTGGGGTTGTTCATGTTGAAGAGTGGACCGGCTGGATCTGTAAGAAATAAAATAAATAATTTGAGGAGTTTGAGGACATCTAAGGGGCTGTTCACTTATTACGTAACGCGAAAAAATGACTTCTTAGACCCCCCCCCCCCCCCTCGTAACAAAATTTGTATGAAAAAAAAATTTCCTTGTTTGAACCGTAACAAAATCTTAGACCCCCCCCCCCCTCCCCCTAAAAGCGTTACGTAATAAGTGAATGAGTGTAAGGAGTAATGTGCAATTTTAAGTACCTAATCCCCAAATGACTTGAATTCTTCTTCCGATAGTTTGAACACGTTTTCCTGTAAGACCAGCAATATGAGCACCAAGACTGTGTCCGGCAATAGAAATTCTAGACATGTCAGTAAATCCATTGTCAACCAAAAAGTTTAAGAAGTTGGATAGAACGTCTGCAACAAGGCCAACTCTATTTCTAGCGGTAATGTAATTTACTGTTCCTGCACCAATACTCCAATCAACCTGTTCAAATCAATAAAAAGAAAAACATAATTGACATTATTTCCTACTTCCATTATCTATTAGTGCAACGCTGATTTAGACTTACTTGGATGACATTGAAATTTCCTAATTGAAGATAACTGGCAGTTGGTCGAGTATTAAGACCAGATGATAATCCTGAGTTCCATCCGTGAATTAAAACTCTCACTGGCCATGCTGCATTGAAATTAGAACTTCCGATGACGCCAGCAGAGTTAGAAAGTTGTTGACCAGTTGTTGGATTATTTCTAGTAAATAACATGAAACGCGTGTCAGTTTCCGGATTAAATCTTGGTTCAACATCTTCAATCGGATTGGCATCAATCACATGCAATTTTCCGTCTTCATCTGGTATCAAGTTCCATCTTTGATGTTCTGTGATTGGTGAGGCTACATCCGAGACATGTCAAAATAAAGAAAAATTTTTTTCACATTTAAAGAATTTATTTTTATCACATCACTTGTACACTACCATAAATGACGCTGATCACACTGAATATCACGAGTAACTTCATATTGGAAACTTTTTTAAAACCACCAAATAATGAATGAAAGGAAACATGTCTCTCAAGCTTAATTTATACTTTATACTAATCTTAAAGTAGGTGTCATAAATCTTCAATTATTTAAAAAAATCAATCTACTTACTTGATAAGATTTCCCTTAATGAAGGTATATTGGTAAGCAATAAAACTGCCATTGCTGTATGGGGGTCTTATCGCTAAGAATTTGAAGTGAGTGGGCCAAAATAGCAATGATTTGAACGTTTACTTGAGCTACTGATATGAACTACTTACAGTGTTTTTGACATTAAAGACCTGGGTCTAGTTTTTACGAGAGGGTAAACCCCAGAAAAAAATTGATATGATTAGTTTAATGGTTTTGGTCATTGTAGGTGCTGCTAAGAAGCCTAGAACCTGACATGTGGCTCTGTATATGTTGTTTGTAATTAAATTGTAAGTTATTACATTTCTCATTATTCAGTAATTAAGAGTGTCAAAAGAAAGCTGTGTTATAAGACATATAGTTTAGTAGATTGTTTTCTATTGAAATTATGTCAAAGATTTGGTTTTAGAACAATATGTTCTCAATATCAAGATTTCCAATAACATTTTGATTCAATCATTCGTAAGATACACCAAAATAAAGAAAATCAACAATCTGAAGATATCCCCAATAAGTGATTTAATCAGTTTTTGAATAAGATCTAATCTGTTGCTTGCTCACTTTGATCGAAAAAGTGAAAAGTTTGTCAAAAATTCAGCTTATATGCTTATGTTGTAGACATTGGTCCCTAGTTTATGGGAAAAATAATTTTTTCCCCCGGAAGTGCCTGGTCCACGAGAAAAGAGGGTTTGAATTTTTGTACTTCACGTAATTCAATTTTTAAAATGCTATTGTGCTTCACCTCCTTATCCGTTTGACTTCAAATTTTTTTTATTTGATAGATACAAGTGAGAACTTTCTAATGAATATCCACATCATATACTATATGTGCATATTGGTTCCTAAAAGTTGAAAAAAGTTCGAAAAAACTAGGTTTTTTGTAATTTTTTGGACCTCATGACTATATAAGGCTTTCTGAATATTTTTAAATTACATTATTTTGTAGATCTCATTTATATCTACAAACCTTACGTACATAATCTGCAGATTTTATGTAGTTTGAGTAGTGAAAATTAACTTTGAAGTCAAAAATTTGCATATTTTTTGCTAAAATCTCAATTGTAATCCACTGTCCACGTCCGGCTCCAAAATTTTATTTCATTAATTTGTAGACTTTAGTATTCTCTATCAACTAATGCAATAAGAAAAAAGAATCACTTGCCGGAAAGCTTCAAAATATGAGCCTGAAGTTGGCCTAGTGAGGTGCAGGTATGCTTTGGAAAATGAGAAATAAATTACCAACATACATCAAGAAAAAGGTTTATAGCACATTGTTCGAATCACATTTACTATATATGAATGTAATATGGGGATCAGCATGTGATAATGTGATTAAACCTTTACAGTCAATCCAGAACAAGGCATTAAGGAGTGTTTTTAAACTAGAGAAACGAACTAACAGAGTTGAAATGTACACGCACAAAACTGAGAATTGCTTGCCAATTAGAGGAATAAATTTCCTCATGAATGCAAATTACATCTATAGGAACATCCATGGAAATGTACAATCAAACATTCGCTTTAAGCAGACGGTTAAAAGGCGAGGAAGATCAAGTCAATGCAAGGAACTAGAATTAGGATTATCAACTACTCACTATGGACGTAAATCAATCTCCTCATTCGGTGTGAAAGTCTTTAATAGTCTTCCGCTTGATCTCAAGGAACTCAAACATCCAGCAGCTTTCAAATGGGCCCTTAAGTGTCACATCAGAAATGAGTCCTTCATATCTACATGCTTTTCAAATGAATACTTAAAAAAGTACTGCTGATCTTCTTTTTCTCCTGTTTGGGTATCTAAAATGAAAACAAATTAAGACACATATTAGATCAAGATAAAACATGATAAAATTATGTAATTTAAACATCAACTTAGCTTTTCCTTGGATTTGTTTATGCACATAATGGGAATATTTGTCGTCTATCGTCGCTTATATGTTTCGTCGTGTTTCATCGTCCTGAACCAGCAAATTGCTTAAATATTTATTTATTTTAATTTAAACTTGTTTATTATTGTTTACAAAACTGAAATCAATTTTTGAACTGAGTAATTTTAAATTTTGAACAACCGTTATCTTTATCAAGTTTTCAAATTAAAAATGTTCGTTTTTTATGAGTTTCTTAAGAGATTTAATTTAAATCATTGAAACTCATTATTTATATGTATCTGTATTACAACAACATTCTATAATAAAAATAATAATAATAATAATAATAATAATCTCAAAATTCAAAATGAGTTTTCACATTCCAGTCTTAATGAAAGGAACTGAAATTTTCAGGTTATGTTCAAATAGCAATGTACTTAACATTCACAACAAAAGTTTTTAAATAAAAACACAATTTTGTTGAAAATTTGGGCAAAAAGTGATATATGATGTTATGAAAACATTAAATGCTTAATAGAGCTACTATAACTAGTTTAAATCAAAACATTTTTACAATTTTCATAAAGTTTATTTAAATAGCTTTCCAATGGTATAAAATAAGTCATATAAAGATGTAGTTTCTAGTAAATATCATCAAAATTTTAAATAATGTATCAAATTTTAACGAATCTGAAAACCTATGCTTGACATTTTTGCTTAGAACTATTGTAAATCTTAAGTATATGCAATAATTTTGGTATTGTAAGAAAGCTTAAAGTAGTGTTGATGTTTTAAAAAAGAAATTGAAGCTCATTAGTAGCTAAAAGAACTGATAGGCTAGGTCCAATATTTCATACTTTGACTGCCACTACTAGGCACAAAGGTCATTCCACCTTTATTTTTTTGGACTTTTTTCTATAGATCTATGCTAGAACTATAAGATAAAAGCCATAAAAATAGATTAACGATGTTAATTTCAGTAAAATAGTAAATGCCAATAAATGAATTTAATCAAAAAGTCGCAAATTTTAAGGTTTTTATTTAGACAATTTTGTTTCAGTCAACCATGAAAAACCACTTTTATGGAATTATGACAGTGAATTTATGATGCAACCTAGTGCAAAAGTAGCTACTTTTTAACATTTTCGACTACAAATCTGCAAGAACTTCACAGAAATTGCTCAAACTGACAAAGCAATTTGTGCAAATGATCTTAAATCAATAAAACATGACAAAAAATTTGTTTAGCATTATTTCAAAGAAACAGTAAATTAATAATGCACAATTGCACAATTAAGTGCAAAAGTAGCTACTTTTAACATTTTCGACTACAAATCTGCAAGAACTTCACAGAAATTACTCAAATTGAAAAAGCAATTTGTGCGAATGTTCTTAAATCAATAAAACATGATATGTATGTATGGTTTGTAGATATAAATGAGATCTACAAAATAATGTAATTTAAAAATATTCAGAAAACCTTATATAGTCATGAGGTCCAAAAAATGACAAAAAACCTAGTTTTTTCGAACTTTTTTCAACTTTTAGGAACCAATATGCACATAAAGTATATGATGTGGATATTCATTAGAAAGTTCTCACTTGTATCTATCAAATAAAAAAAGTTTAAAGTCAAACGGATAAGGAGGTGAAGCACAATAGCATTTTAAAAATTACATGAAGTACAAAAATTCAAACCCTCTTTTCTCGTGGACCAGGCACTTCCGGGAAAAAAAAATATTTGTCCTATAAACTAGGGATCAATGTCTACAACATAAGCATATAAGCTGAATTTTCACTTTTTCGATCAACAGTATACTGTTGAATTCGCAAAAGTCTAATAGTGAATTGTTTTAAAAACGATTACAATTTTTTTTTTATCTTATTCCTGAATAATTTTAATAAAAAATTGAATATAATAAAATATGTAAGCATGTAAATATTAATAAGTACTTTGATTTTCAATGCGAAACACTTAATAAAATAGACAAAAGACAACAAACAAATTGTCACATTAATATGTGCTATCGAAATTGAAATTTAATTACACTTCTGTTTGCCGAGCTAATACATTAATACGAATTACTGACAAATAATTTGTATACACAAGTCAGGCTAGTTCCTATAGCAGTACATATTCTGGATTTATTGCAACAAGTAGCAATGTTTACAGCGTGTTTAATAATATTTCAATTCTGTGGATTATATCCCATCTCGATTCAAGATAAAGAAAATGAATCTGTGACATCAATAGTCGCTTCGTATGGCTCAACATTAATTCACATTTTGCTGACACTATCGCATATTTTATACATGATAATTCGACAGGATAAAATGTTATATTCGGAATCAGTAATTGGAAAAATCAATGACATCTTAGTCTATTTCTCTTTAGTTCTGGCACATTTAACTATCGTCGTTGAGACATTCATTGAGCGAGCATATTTCAAGCAATTTTGGTATTTCTATGATAAAGCAGTCAAACTAAATCGAAAATCAATTAAAATTAAGTGGTATCGAGGTTATTTAATAAAATTTATACTCTACATATGCTTCACATTAATGATCGAAATAGCTGTCATCTCAACGGTTATTGACAACGATGAGCAATGGGCAAATTTTTGGTTTTCTGAAATTTATAGTTTATTGGTAACGAGAATACGACATATTCAGCATGTCTTCTTTATTGACATCATTTTCTTCAGTCTTCAAGGAATTAATCAATACATGAAGTGCCTGAGTTTTTGGATGAGAGGAGTTGGGGGTAATAAAAAATTCGCTCGAAAGCATTTCTACATTAAAATGAGTAGAATGAAGGAACAATTTAAGAACTTGATGGAAATGATAATTTGTGTAAATAAGATTTTTCGCTGGTCTCAAGTTTTGAATATCGGATAGCATTTTATAGAAATCACTGTCGAATTATACTGGATTTATGCATTCGCTGAGAAAGGATCTTTTCTCTTTGGTAATCCTGTTATCATTTTGTCTGTGAGGGTTTGTTCATAAATGATATCTGAAGCTGTGAGCATCACTCGAGGCAGAAATGCAATGGCTCTTAAATTAAATTTCCTTTTTCCACATCATTTATGAATAACCCCCTTTAACTAAGCTTTAAAAATCTTTTTATCTCACTTTCATTTTTCTCTCATTTTATTATTAAGCTACTGCAATTGTCTGTATTCCCAGCGTTCTTGTTCTATTGCTTCTTTTTCAGTCTGCGACGAGATGCATTAAAGAGGTGAGAGATTGATGAAACTTAAGTGCTGACAAATCGGAATTAAAAATAATTTCAATTCTATCGTTGTAGATTCAAGAAAAAACTGCTTTTGTAATCCACAACATTAATTTTTTTACTGATGATTATAGATTACGTACACTTGTGAGTTATTTTCCATTTTGATAAATTGCTTTTAAAGTAACACAGCTTATGCTGTACATTTGTTACATTTCTCACGATTTTTTTTTTCTTCATAGATTCAAGATTTTTCGCTACTTCTGAGGCATTCACCGAAGCATTTTAATGCAAACAATTGCTTCATTATTAACTTTTCATTATTCACAGCCATGCTGTCTCCAATGCTTACATATCTCGTCATCATCGTTTCTTTTCATCCAAAATCGAAGAATTAGAATTCAACTTTTGGTTTGAAATTTTAATAAATTTAAGATGAAAATTGTTTGAGATTTTAGAATTTTAACATTATTTGAAGACTTACCTTATTTCTGCAAATGTAAATCTGAAACTTAATCATGCAACAAAGTGTTCTTAATATAAATAAAAGACATAGTTTTAAAAGTATGAAGTTTTTTTTTATTATTTTAACTTTTTCTTATTATCGTATACAGTCCATATCTGTACAAAAATGCGTCAAGTTTCTATTTATTTTCATTTTATTTCCTTTTCCTTCAAAGAAGAAAATGCTCTTCTTTTTCATATTGTGTGTTTTTCTGTTGTGGAACTTAGATCTAACTTTTAAAAAATTCTTCTTCCATGTTATCAATTTCTTTGCAATATAAATCGAGAACGAGAAACTTAAATTCTACTTCTTCCTAAAGTTTATTATGGCAATCATGAAAATAAAGGAGTTTTTCTCTCTTTAGAGAGTTTTTTTTATGAACTTTTTCATCTATTTCATCTTTTCATTAAAATAATTTTTCATTCACTTTGAATCTAATTCAATTCAATCGACAGACAGAAATAAACAATCTCTTCATTTTGATATAATTTCTTACGTATTTTTGGTTACAATTTTTCTTTCTTTTTACTTTTTAAGATTTCAAGAATTTTTAAAAGAATATATTTAAATTTTTATACATGCATATCTCATTATCTTCTGTTTCGTTCTACAAAACAATGTCACTTTAAATATTGCTGATCTCTTTCCAATTTAGTAATTTATCATATGTATGTATGTTTATTCCTTTTTTTGTTTTGTTTATTAGCCAATAACAAACTACATTCAATTCAAACGTCTAATTCAATTTTTAGTGTATAATTTCACTGGAAACACGATAAGTATTTTTTTTACGATAATATAAGTAAGAGAGGGAAAAATCAAAATGAAAACAAACAAAATTATCAAGAAAAGTAAATTATCGGTCATGTTTTGATGGAATTTAAGTGCTGAGCGCGATTTTCTTTGTTAAATTATTGATTTTAAGCAGAGATTTTTTTGATTTTTGACATTTTGTTTTACTTTCTTATTTGTAAAGATCAGTGATTTTAAAATATTGAAGCATGTCAAATGACAAAAAAATCAAATTTTTGTTTAGGGGCCATTCACTTATTACGTAACGCTTTTAGGGGGAGGGGGGGGGTCTAAGATTTTGTTACGGTTCAAACAAGGAAATTTTTTTTCATACAAATTTTGTTACGAGGGGGGGGGGGGGGGTCTAAGAAGTCATTTTTTCGCGTTACGTAATAAGTGAACAGCCCCTTATGTTTGTTCCAAAAATCGCTAGAAATTTTGATTCCTAATCATTTTTTGAAAATTAACGCAAAACTTAGAGAATCTTGCAACAAACTTATAGTTTTGAGGTCCAGTATCTTATTATTGAGCAGACACTGCTTTAAAGTATTAGAATTATAGAATATAAACTATATTTGAGCTGTAGTTCTATTATTAAGAGTGGCAGAATTTAAATTATGATTTTTAAATGAGTATTGAATATCTACATTGCTCAGCACTATGTTCATGAACGACAATTTCATCTTGACGAAAAATAAAATTAAATTATAGAAGAAAAATTGCACTAATATCCAATTGATTTATAAAAATTTTCATTTAAGAAGCTCATTTTTAAAAAGAGAGAAAATAAAACTTTCACATTTTTGATGCTGATTGATAAAGATAAGGTTTTGCAGCAACTAGCTTACACACTAATTATTTACAGCAGATGACTAAGCTTAAGTTAATGATATTTTCTTTCGTTACATATATTTATGTTGTTCTGGGAAAGCAAAACAAATGATGATATTTAAATTCACGAATTTTGTGATTTTTTTTATGAAAGAATTTAGGTTTAGCTATTTACACGTACCTAGATTAACGATAAATTATGATATATAAATTTTTTTATAAAAAAAGTTGCCATGTACGTTCATTATGTATTTAAAATAAGTACACTACAGACTTAAAAATTAATTAAATTATTATTTTCAATCACTTAGTAAAAGATTCTTACATGGCATAGGTTCTCATTTACACACATTTTTTTTATCATTATAAAACATCCCGAAGCATCGAATCGACTAGAAAAGAGAGCATATCAATTTAAGCTGACTAAGAATGCTTCTCTCTCACATACACAAACTTATTTTTGATTGCAGTGTAATTTTCTAATTTTCTTATAATTTTTTTCTTACTCATCTGGCGGTATACACTTATAATATTTAACATACTGAGGATTTTCCGTTAACTATATGGGACCATAATCTGATAACGCTTGTCCGCCTGCTGTTTGGTGAGAGACTGTAGACATTTTAGCCGTTGATACAACAACAGAGACAGCTCTTGCGTCTACAATTGATCCATTATCGATCGTAGAACCGGGAGCTCCCTCGCAAATTTGAGGTCATACCTGTGTGACAAGGAAATACAATTCAAATTAGTTTCATAATATGAAAATTATTCAAGAATGTGGAAACTTACATGAGTCATGGGATGTTTAAGTACATGATGGTGTAAATGATGATGACTTGATGCCATACTTCCCATCGTTTGTGCATAAGGAGCTGTTAGAAGTGAAGCAGATGCCGCTGATCCTTGAATTGTTGTGGCTACATACGGCTGAGGTAATTGTGGTCGTGGTTTTATTAGACTTGTTCCGGCACCTGAATGATCTGGTTTTGTGCCACATAATCGTCTCCATAGTTTGCACCATGAATCGAGTGTCTTTCCTGACCAAATCCAAATACCTGATGTGATACCACACACGAGTGTCATAAAATATTTAAGCATTAATATTGAGTAAATTGGTTGACGTCTCCACTCGTCAGTTTGTTGCATACATGGACATGCTAATGTTGACATCCAATCTTCAAAGAAATTCGATTCGTACAAGTGACAAGCTATGACAATCGTAGCTGGCACCGTATATAGCACACTAAAGATTCCTATCCTTATCATTAGTTTCTCTAATTTATCAGCTTTTGATCCTGCACCAATGCCGCCTTGTTGCTTAATCACTGATCTTATTCTAAAAAGTGAGACAAATCCAGCAAGTAGGAATGTTGTTCCTATTACAAGATATACGAAGTATGGTGCAAGAACAAAATTTCTCAAATGCTCCACCGATGTATTTCCTACATAACAGATTCCTGCCAATGGATCACCATCAACTGCTGGATGTACTAGTACAGAAATACTTTGTAATGTTGGAATAAGCCATGCTGCTAGATGAAAGAAATGTGAAATCTTGCTAATTGCCTCATTTCCCCATTTCAAGCCAGCGGAAAGGAACCACGTAAAACTTAAGATGACCCACCAAATTGATGAAGCCATTCCAAAATAATAAATTAATAAGAATACTATTGTACAAGAGCTTTGACCTGTTGATGAGTATTTAATAGCACGTCCATCACATGCAATTTTCTCATGTCCGACAAAATATCGCATTAGATATCCCATAGATACCATAAAGTAGCATGCTGATAAAAAGACAATTGGTCTTTCAGGATATTTAAATCTTTCGGGATCTATTAGGAACGTCGTTAATGTCATAAATGTACTGACTGCACAAAAACCAGACCATAAAATAATCCAGTAGTTGGCAAATTCTTTTTCTTCAGATGAAAAGAACGCACCTATAATTAAAATAATTAAAATAAAAAAAAATTATGAAACTTGTTGTGGGTATAAAAATAAAGTTATTATTACCTTTGCATGGTATACCGCAATTACTGACACTTCCAACTTTTGCAACGGTCGTATTATACCACATACTTTCTTTTCCGAGTGGTACGAGAGGATAACGACACTTGCATTGACAATCTCTATCATTCTTCGGTTCTATCGTTTGCTGACATTTTTTGTCGCCTTTGGGACATTTCTTTTGATTTGTAGACGATGAAGATGAGCCATGATGCTTCTTCTTATTATTAGTATTTGTATTGCTGTTAAAGTTATCATTTGCTGACGCCGATGATGATGATGACTGTTCATTGTCTGAATAGCTTGGATGTTCCATGCACAAAATGTCATTTACCGAATGTTTTGGAAGACTTTCACAATTCATTCGTTCGGGCCATTTAAAACTATATTGCTCCATAATCGGTTCACAACCTTCACGTGCTCTTTCACAGACAGAACGACATACGGGCAAGGGTTTGAGATAATCCTCAATACAAATTGGCGCATACATCGAGCACAGGAAAAACTTTAAGTCTGGTGAGCACTTTATCTCAACGAGTGGCCAAAATTGATGTACTTCCAAGCCTGCCTCTTCTTGCGTCTCATGATTCATTTCATTAGGGAATTTTGTCATGTTATATCCAATTCCTATATAATATTTTTAAAATAGTAAGCATGAGTCAAATATGAGACAATTTTCACAAAATATCACTCACCTCTACACATTGGAATATTAATTTCTTCACATCGAGGATGCCCAACCTTTTGTGATGGCATCGAAATATGAACCTCCATATCACCAGCATCATTCATGCTTCCACCATTACTATAATATCCTTTATCGGCATTCACCAGCATGAAGCATGTGAATAGTATCACCAGCACAGATTTAAACAGTCGCGATCGATTCCGGCTCATTGTGATGTTTTTTTTTTTTTTTTTCTTTTGTGTATAATACTTCCTATGCGTTAATCTTCTTTCTCCTTTTGAATTTTATCGATAGTATTTTTTTAAGCAATCGTTTTGCTTCTTTCAGTGATGAAAAAAAAAGTTGTTATTCTCTTTCCCTATGAAATCAACTGAACTGAATGGCGAGATGTGTATTTAAAGCTTAAATATTTTTGTAATCTGTAGAGATGAGAAGAAAAAAAGTTTCAAAATAATTAGTATGTTTACAATCAGTAAATCTGTCTTCACACTTCTTCTTTACATATCTACACATCTAGTACTTATATCTATATATCGTTTAATTTCAACGCTATTTCGTTTAAGGTAATTTTGAATGGAAATGTGGAGAAGGAAAAAATAATAGGAGTTCGTTCATAAATGACGTTTATCAAGTAATGTTCAATGGATTCTTTGAATATGTGGGTTCTAAAATGGATCTCTAGAGAAAGAACCAACGATTGGTATAGTAATGGATCCAAAAAATCCTTGAGTACGGTATTGATTTCAAGAGCCCGTATAACACATAATCGCAAGATTATAAACTCTTAAAACTCCCAAGCCCCAAATAAATGTTGTACATCATCTAGAAATAATCCCAAAGAGAAGAAAAACGGAAAAAAATTCTTTGCGCTCTAGCAAATAGAGAAGAACATATTTAAATATCTTCTTCTCTTTACGCGCCCCCGAAGAAGAGATGGTATATACACATGGTATCAATATTTTCGATTCGTAAACGTGTAAACAAATCGTTAACACAAAATAAACTCTAAGGTTTGTTGTACATGCACTGTACTGTGTTAACGAGAAAAGTGGAGTGTATAAATTTTAAAGTTTTTTTTTTATTATTGTATGTAAGAATTAAGTAAGCAGCAAAAAGACCAGACATTCTATTTTCTTCTCTTTTTACAGAACAAAGTTAATTTTTTTTTCTTTTCTTTAAATACATAATATTTTATTTAATGTCTACTGCTTCCACCGAAAAGGAAGACATTTAAACAGGAAAAAATAAAAATTAGTTCTCGTCTTCTTCTTTTACTATTTTTTTTTTTTATTTTATTCATAACAGGAATTAATTTGAGAGATAAATTTTATTGTATAACATAACTCATTTTGTTTGGACATATTTATTGATGAAGCAATTGAAACGAACGCATGATGTGTATGGCACAACTATTATTTGTATAACTCAATCAGCTTTCATTCATTACTTTCGCTCTCTCGAAATCTGTCTTTACACATTTTCAGTGTATTTTAAGTTGAGCTAATGTGATATTAAGTTTGATTTGTCTATTGTCCGTGAACGATCAACATTTATGCTTATTGAAACAACTGATTTTATTGGTAAATTTGCGATCGTGGATTGATATTGTGAACAATATTCATATAAGTCCTGAATTATTCTAGTGAAGCTATTGATCAACCTTAATCATATAAATTTAGCATAATGATGGATACGAAGGATTTTGCTAGGTTTTCGGAGCAAATCTTGGAGATCCTTTGTTTGTAACTATTGTAAGACACCAATTTACTTCTTTTGAACCTAGATCATATCAAAAGTAAAGTAAGCTTTAAACCCCATTCTCAAATCCGTACTTTAATATTCAATTTTGAGATCAAAGCAAGTAGACAAGGAACAAATTCACGAACAAACAGAATTTCTGAGTGTCATCGCTTCAAGTAAGTGAATAATTTCTTAACAACCAATTGTTAAGCTATTCAATTTAGTCAATCGATTAGACAAAAGCGCACTAAAGCCATTCTTCTGCATTATGACTTTCAAACAATCTTTTTCATTTCTTTTCCTTCTTGTTAAAAATTTTCTAAATAGACATGTAGTTAGGTTTAAAATGTTTAACAGTCATTTCCTCCACAATAAAATGTAATGTGAACATTGGAATTTTTAAAACTTTATTTCATGCTTTTTTCCATTTTCAATTTTGCTACTAGAAAAAGTCTATTATGAAAAAAATTTTATGCGCGCGAGAAGGAAAAAGAAGAATTGAAATGTAAGATAAATAAATGAAAATGTTAATTTAGTGCAATTTAGTATTACAAATTGTTTATATAGTAATTATACACTGGCTTTATTCATAATTCATGTCATGCTGTGTACATAAAATTTCATAGAGAGATTTTAAACATAATCTCCCAATAGACTCGAATGTTTGTCAGTCTGTTGAATGAATCATATTGGCATAAAGGATGTGCCTGTTGCTTTACTTCTTATTTTCTTTCGTAATTCATATTATTTTTATGGACAGATACAATTTACTCAATGACGCAGTTATAATATGAAATTTTGAATGTAAAACACATGTGTGCCTCATCTCTGCTTCCTTCTCTCATTTTCTATACATTTTTTCAATCTAACATCCAATAGTAATAATAAGTAAAACGCTAAAGTTCTTTTCTGTTGCAGTCAGTTGATGTTATTATTTTAAAGACATACAGAGATGCTAACATTCCATTTCTGAGGAAAAACCTACAATAATTCATTATCATTGATTTAGTAGATGAAGTGAAAAAAAAATTTACATCTGTACAAACAAAGATCTACATATATACACAGTGCATGATATAAAAATTGTTCGTTTACAACTGAGACATAAAAATTTATGCATTTTTATGGAAATGATGGAAATATTTTCCTCCAAAGTAATATAATATTCTTCCTCGACGCTCACTGTTATGTATTGAATTGTATTTTAATTAATCCCAATTGCATCGTGTTACAGATGTATTGAAAAATGAATCTCTCGAAACATAAATGTTAATTATTGAATCATGGCTAATGCGCATTATGTGAACTGAACTCGTAACAGTCTAGTGCTTCAGCATGTGATAAATACAATGTTAAATCAGAGATTCTAAGTTTGAGGCTGATTAGGTAATTTGGTATTTTTTGAATGACACTTATAGACTACGATTGAATCAAATCTTATCAATAGAACAGTTCAGAACCTAACTTGAGCAATCATATCTAAATTCTAAGCTACATCTTTAAGTAAATATTCACACTATTCAGCAACTTTATCTCAAATGTTTGTTAAAAGATTAAAAATACCTTCTTTAGAAAATCTCACTGCTTCAAGCTCATCATAAAGCTGAAACCCTATCACATAACTACCAAACGGATCTACTTGTCTTGAGTGTGCATTGCAAGGGAAATTTCCATCAAGAGATCTAATCTGACAGCATTTCAAATTGTAGAGCATTAAAGCAACATCCAGCCAACAAGAGCTTTAAATGATTGTGTTTGTTTTTTGCGAAAAACATGCTTAAAAATTGATGATTATGATACTCTTGAATACGACGAAGCACATAAATTGTTGAGATGAGATTTTATGCTATAATAATTCTATATTTTCGTTCTACATAAAAAAATACGAGTAAGTGTGAAGTGTTTTCGCAATTTTAAAATTTGTGCAGTTGGAAAGCATCAAGATGATGCTAGGTTTAGAGCACTAAAGATACCAATGTTGATGGATACTTTAATGATTTCTACATCCTCTTTTTCTCTAGTTACTCTGACGTGAGCATCATTCTGTCGAAATGAAATATACATCAGATGTTGACTGAATTTCCCATGATGAAAATCATTTCAAGATTTATGACTTTTTCGTTTTTCCATCAAAAAAAAAAGAACTTCTTTCGATTGCTTTAATGCTTTTGACTTTATGTTATTTCATCTTTGCAAGGAGTTGAAGCCATTAAAATGCATTCGTTTGTTCTTACTTGCTCTATTGAGTAATATGCTATAAAGCAAATGGAGGAACCAATTGTGCATATCAGTAAAAAGTAATTTCAAGATTATTTTTTGAGTATGGTAACAAATTCTGCTTGAAAGACTTTAGTCATAAAAAATGAAGTCATTCTAACTTTAAATTGACCTCATGTAATTCGAAATGTCGTATTTAAAATAAATATAAAAAAGCAAACGACATATAGTCATAAGATTTAATAGTGTCGACTTTTAAGTTATTCATTAATGATGTCAAAGACTTCCTTGTTGTCAAAAAGACTAAAATATAGTTTCAAGTATGTTAGCCAGCATTAATGAATGACCCTTTTAAGTCTCATTCAAGTAGAAAAAAAAAATCATTTTAAACCGCGTAAAAAAAATCATTGCTTTTTGAAATTTAATGCTTATTTTTTGTGCATACATAAGAAAGTGTCCGAACACTCTTTTTATTTGCTGTTTTTTGCAGTATTCCTTTAAAAAAAATATATGCAATATATCAGATTTCATGTGAATTTCACAGAGCGACACCTGCATACAAGAATTTTATTGTTCCTGTCACAAAACAGTTTGTTTGTATGTTTTATAGAATATCCGATTTGGGTTTTAACCCGCAGAATCACACGATTTGAGACATTTCTTTCTTTCATGCATAATTCTTTTATTTTTTCATTATTGGTGGTGTGAAATCAATAAAAAAAAATGGTATTAAGATCCTGTGGTTAAAGCTTGCAAAGAGTATGTGTGTGTGTTCATCTTTCGCTTGCAGAAAAATATTTTTAAGTATCATTAAAGAAAGTGGTCTTACACATTAATGCATTAAAGCATATCATGTGTACACATAAATAAGTAAGCATATTTGTGAGGATGATAAATATGATGCAAGATGATGGTGATGTTCATGTTATAAAAAAAAAATATCATGTGGTTGGAATCAGTATGTACATGTTCGGTATACATACATGAAGGTAATGTGAAACAAGAGACATATTCGTAAGAAATTGCTCAAGAAACCCCTGTTGAGTTCTCTGATGTACAATCTAAATCAACATAAAATATGTCAAAATACAAAATTTGAGACTTTTATTCTCGTCTTCTTCTTCTTCATCATCATCATCATCTTTCTCTGTTCCTTCATATTTTGGCATCTTCCTACCTACTTAGGGTTTCTGAAGCCGTTAACGAAAAACGGAAAACGGCCGTTAACGGCACAAAAATTGAAAACGGAAAACGGCCGTTTTTCATTCCGTTTTTCCGTTTTCTCATAGTTCATACAATGTAATTTTAAAATTTTTTTTTGTTTATTTCTTTTAAACATTATTCTCAAAAACAGTTAAAAGTTTTTGAAATTGAGATTTATTATTATGGATTGCCTGGAAAGTTTGAAAATCTCATTTCAAGTAGTATATTAGAATCAGAAATGTAATCATAGTTGCGAGTC